CTCCATCAGGATGCTTTAAAACTTTCCTTTGTCTGGTGGGAATTCATTAAGATTGTTACACATGTGGTTTGACAGGTTTCATCATTTTTGGAACATTTATTCAAATATTGCCTCTGCCCCATTCTGTCTCTTTTCCTTCTGAGATTCTGATTAACTCTTGGATATTAGACCTTTCTCACTGTATCTTCCAGGTTTCTTACCCTCTCTTCATTCTGAGCGTTTTATTTTCCCCGACCTATCTTTTGGTTCACTATCTCAACGGTGTCTATTGGCTGTTAGACCTGTTTATTGAATTCTTAATTTCGGTTTTTGCATTTCTCAGTAATAAAATTATTCTTTGCTTCTTTTAAAAATCTGCTGTGTAGCCCAGGCAACATGGCAAAACCCCATGTCTACAAAAAAAAAAAAACAAAAACACAAAAAAAACAAAAATGAGCTGGGCATGCTGGTGCATGCCTGTAGTCTCAGCCACTCAGGAGACTGAGGTGGGAAGATCACCTGAGCCCCAGAGGTCAAGGCTGCAGTGAACTGTGATCACGCCACCACATTCCAGCCTGGGTGACAGAGTGAGACCTGGTCTCAAAAACACCCAAATTCTGCTGTGTCACATTTTATGATTTCTGGGTCATTGCTGAGGTTTTTAAGTTTGGCTTTCATCTCCTTGAACATAACAAGCATAATTTAAAATCCATGTCTGATAATTCCAATACTTGGAGTCCTTCTGAATCGTTGTGGTCATCTTATCTTGTTTCCTCGTGTACCTGATTGTCTTTAATTGCATGCTGGGCATTGTATTTGAAAAATTATTTGAAAAATCATTTGAGACCAAGGATGATAGTTTTTCAGAAAGGAGTATATGTGTGTGTGTACATCTGCTTAAGGGAATCCAGAAAATCCAGAGTTGCTTAATCAAATCTCAGCTTTGGAGACCTTCCTGGGCCAACCAGATGACTCAAGGCCACACTGCATTCAGTGTATGAACTGATTTATTGTGGTTCACCCTTATTTCTAAGGTGTAGCCCCTTCAGGGTCCCAGCCCGAAAGTGGGTGAAGAGGATTTTCCCTTTTGTCCTTCTGTTTTAGCTCTTTGACCCTTTTAAGAAAGCCATTTCTTATATTTTAACCAACCCTATTACTTGCCTTCAGATAGGGAGGTGTTTTGTTGGCTCTTTATGGGCAGGATTTTCTTAGAAGTGGCAGAGACTATCATTTTCTCTAAGACTTCAGACTCAGCCCTAGTTCTGTTTAAGCTTTGTTTTATATAGCTGTACTCACTTGTATAATTATATACATTTTTAAATTGAAAGGTTACATTGTATGTGCGTAAATATAAGTAAATTGTTTACTAAACACTCAACAATATTTTAAGTTTCTTCAACCTTGATCAGTTGCTAGACCTTGACAATGGACAGGTTTATTTAAATTTCAGCTATGTCTGGAATGGCTCAAAATATGAAATCCCTCTTAATTGCTATTGAAATTAGCATGCATAATACCAACTAAAGTTTTTTCCTGTCATGGAAGAGAATACTTTTCTAGTTACACTTTTGCAGTCACAACTTCTGTCTTAGCATACCTGTATGTTGGTATAATATGTATCTGCCTTGTGAAATAGGAAAAAAAAAAAAAAGGCAATTCTGCTGAGATTCTTAGATTTCTGCCATATGAGAACCCTCAAACAACCTAATCAATGAACATTGTGTTTTACTAACTTTTTTCCTTCTATGTAAATTAATAACCCACAGCAGCCTTGTGAGGTAAGTATGTGATAGTTAGGTGTGATATTAAGCAAAGGATTAGGAAACAGGGCCCAAGAGGTTAAGTAACTTGTCGGTAGTCCCACACCTGGTGAATGGCATATGTTCTTTGTCTGTTACTATTACAACATTGTGTTTCAGCTATAATGGCCAGGTAACTCTTGCCTGCAGATGTTCACTGACTTCCCAGTTTTATCATGTTATGCTTTCTTCCTTCTGTAAGTCATATAATATCCTGACCCCATGACTCATGTCCTGAAGATTGAGACAATTAGGAGATTACTCCTTCATATCTCATCCTCACCGCCTCCCACCCCATTTCTAGAACATGGTACCACCAGCTCTGAAATTTAGCAACCTCTCTGCCCTGTTAGAAAGCTTGCTGTGTCACTAGTCCTTTCTCATCCCTACACATACAGTCCCTTTATCTCTTTTTAGACATGCCTCAATTTTTCCAGTTCTAAAAAGATGCGTCTTTGCTTTCCAGTTCATTTGCCGTCTTTCTTGGCACTCAAGGCTTCCTTTGTTGCTTCTCCAGTCACTCTTGATGAAATCCTAGCCAGTTGTGTTTGCCTTATCCTTCTGAATCTTAAGAAGGGCAAAAAGCTTATCTGCCTTGTACTTCTTTCCCAGCAATAGAGTCAGTGCTCCTATACTTCTAGTGGTGATTCTGCTTCTGAATCCCCCTCATATCTCATTTTCAAATCATTGTTTTCAGCATCCAGCAACATCCTTGCTACTCACTTATAATGATAGCCTTGAACAATTATCTTACGTTAGGCCTGTGAATGTCAAATACCCTTGTTCATTTGTAGGTACTTGACATTTGAACGTTTTATTTGAACATTTCTAAATGTACACAAATGAAAAGTCCAATGAACCTCTGATGCTACAGTTATGTACGTTTTACCATACTAGTTTCATCTCCTTACTTCTCTTTTTTCCAAGAATTTAAGGCATAGCCAACACATAATTTCACTCCTCAATAATTTAATATATCTGAAACAACACATTTTCTTATATAGCTACAATGTTATTATCTTATACAGCACACCTAATAAGAATTCTTAATAGCATATACAATACAGTTGACCCATGAACAAAGCCAAAATTAGGAGTGCTGACTGCCTGCAGAGTCAAAAATCCACCTGCACTTTTGTTGTTGTTGTTGTTGTTTTGAGATAGGGTCTCACTTTGTCCCCCAGGCTGGAGTGCAGTGGCATGATCATGGCTCACTGCAGCCTCAATCCCCTGGGCTCAAGTGATCCTTCCACCTCAGCCTCCTGAATAGCTGGGACCATGAGCATGCACCACCACACCTGACTACTTTTTTATGTTGTTTTGTGGAGATACGGTCTCCTCATGTTGCCCAGGCCAGTCTTGAACTCCTGGGATCAAGGGATCCTCCCGCCTTGCCTTCCCAAAGTGCTAGGATTACCGGCGTGAGCTTCTTTTGACTCCCCCAAAACTTAACTACTACTAGCCTAGTGTTGAACAGAAGCCTTATCAGTAATATAAACAATTAACACATGTTTTGTATGTTACATATATTATTGTATTCTTACAATAAAGTAAGCTAGAGAAAAGAAAATGTTAAAAATCATAGAAAAATATATTTCCTACTCATTAAGTGGAAGTAGATCATCATAAAGGTCTTCATCGTTGTCATTTTTATGTTGAAGAGACTGAGGAGGTGGAAGAAAAGGAGGGGTTGGTCTTGCTGTCTCAGGCATGGCAGAGGCAGAAAAAGGGGAGGAGGTGGAAGGAGAGACAGGCACACTTGATGTAACTTTTTTTTTATTGAAAAAAATCCACATATAAGTAGACCCACATACTTCAAACCTGTGCCATTCAAGGGCCACCTGTACTTAGCCCATCCTTAAATTTCCCTAATCGTCTAAAAAAAATTCTTTTTTTATAGTTGGTTTCTTTGCAACAGGATCTACTCATTGTATTTGGTTATGCCCCTTAAGTCTCTTAATTCTCTTATAATTTATAACAATCCTGTCTGCTTTTTTTCATCCTCAGACTATCCCATTCTGGTGAAGTATTGTTTAACTTGTTTCTTTATCCTCTTATTTCATATGGACTGGAAATTAGATCTATGTACTTAATTAGGTTCAGAATATATTTTCTTGGTGGGGTGGGCAAGAGTGCTTGTGGTCACTTCATATTACATTACACCTGGAGGCATATATTGTCTGGTCATTTCACCTTAAGTGTTGTGAAGGTTCATCAGAGGGTTCAAGTGGTGACAGCTTGATCCCTTTGTGAAGCCCAACCTTTTACCTAATGCTTTTACCATCCATTGATTACCAGTGCATGAATTTAGTTATGTAATTAAAGGTTGCAAAATTGTGATTGTTCAATTTGGTCACTTCTGCTATTATTAGCTGAAATATTTATATATGGACAAACTGTTTTCTCATTCACAAGAGCTATTTGATTAACCTGAAATATGTAGTCATTTATTGAGTTGTTAAATGTATAACTCTATTATTTTACTAAGGTTTATGAAAACTTGATAACTTGAAGAAGTTAAAGCTATTCCTGAATGTTAGATTAGTGATTTTTGTGGGTTGGGTCATGGGGAAGGCCTTCTAATCCTGAGTGAACAGTTCTAATCCTATTGAGAAGAGGTAAGGTAACAGGGAAAAACAAACAAACAACAAAACAGAAGAAAAGATTGTATACTCTGGTCATTGTTGTGGGCTTGCAGTGCGAGTGTGGTGCTTACTTGGGGTATGGGAATTTTAAAAAGTTCCTTTACTTTACCAGAGACTAAATCAGACTCACCACGGAGTCCTTTAAATTTTAAAGACCTATGGCCCTAAAAGGGCCTCAGCACAGTTTTGCAATCAAATTCATTTAATTTTAATGACTAGTACATCTTGGGAAGCTGCAGGGACTCCTGATGGTTTTCCAGGGATGCAGCTAAAGCTCTTCTTGCTAGCTTTCTCTGAAGCTAAAATCTCAGGAAAGCTTTGTTCATCCCCTCTGCTGTTGTAAAGCTCTGCCTTAGGCACTCGAGGTGATGAGAGAGGAGCAGGGTGGCTCAGACAGTCAGGAAAACTATCTCTTAGTGTCAATTAAACATAAATTTCATTCACTGAAATTTCATGTAGTAAAATGGCTGCCTGCTTTTTCATGACCTTTTGTTCATACACTGTATCACTTGCTCACACTGTTGTATTTAAAGCTTTCACAGTTTGAATCTTACCTCATTAGCCTTTTATTTTTTAGGATACTGTCTTCAGCCTTTTCTTCAAGTTTCTAACCGTGAATTGTGTTGTGTCAAACTGGATGAATTATCTTAGTTGAATTTTTACCAGTTGAAAATTGGAGGTAAGGAGTATATTTCTTTTTTGAAATTGAGTCTATATTACTGTTAACATGTTTACACCCTCCCCTCCATTTATATTCCGTGTCCTTTGTGTATTTAAGAGCAAGGATGACAAAAGATGTCCAAGTGATTTCATGTGCTTAGATTTAGGCCCTAAGTCAAGACCCTAAGAGCAGCAGCTGCTACTGCTACTACTAGTGCTAGTACTACTACTGCTGCTAGTGGGAGTTATAAATTCTTTGGACAATTCATTTGCTATTAGAAACTTCACCAGAAAATAGAAGGGTAATTTAGCAGTTTATTTTGAATAAAAGGGGCTAATCCTACTCAGGTGCCAGATCCCCAGCATTAGAGCTGGTGGAGATTGAAAGATCTGCCCCAAGAAATAACAAGATGTGTGTGGGATATACAAATCTTCCAACTTCCTAGTTTTTGTAATCTTTCTTATTCTCAAATCCATGTTGAATAACTGAATTAAGCAGATGGTAAATACAATATTATGAACAAATAAGGGTATAATTTTGTTAGTGGTATTGTAACCATAATTCTTGCTTTGAACCACTGATAGATCTGTATCAGGAAAGACTACATAACAGTATCAGTTGTGATTTCTAGACAGTTTATCTTTCTACCTTATGAAAATGTTCCCACTTTTTTTAACATCTGTTTCCTAGTATAATAACACACATGGGTATGTGCTGTGAATTAAGTACTTAGGCAAGATGTTGTGACACCTGTTTAATAATCTTGGCTTTTAACAAGTTTTAAAATCCCTCCAGCCTTTAGTTATCTTCTTGTGTGAAGTGTTTGTATTTGGGTTGAGTTCAGGGTTTCCCGGATTTGGCACTATTGGCATCTTGGGCTGGATAATTTTCTGTTGTCAGGGGCTGTCCTGTGCAGTGTAGGATGTTTAGCAGCATCTCTGGACTCTGCCTGTCAGATGTCAATAGCACCTTTCCTCAGTATGACAACCAAAAATATCTTCAGACGTTGCCAAATGTCCCTTGCAGAGCAAAGTCACCCCTGGTTGGGAACTACTGGGTTAGATGATGTGGAGTTTCTTCCAGCTTTATTATTCTATAGTTTTTATTTTAAACAAAAAAACCTATTTTTTGTAATCAAGCTTAAATGTCGTCTCTTCCCTGAAGCTTTCCTCAGCTCTCCTTCTCTTTGTTCTACCTTCATTGTTTCTTTTTCTGACTACTAATTATGGAACTCACCCCACTCTATTATAACTGCCAGTGTGTTTCTCTCACTACGAGGACATGGGTCTTCAGTATCGCCAAGCTTAGATTGTATTAAATGAATGGGCAATGCATTAGAAATTGTTTAGTTAATGATTATAAATGGCATTTCTGTTAATCTTTCAAACTCTTCCACTAGGAAATTCCCATAGTTGTGATCTTGGATTTCAGGGTTAATGAGACTGATTATTCATTTTTTAAAAAAATCTTTTAAATATATTATAAGGCAGGAGCCTCCTATATGTATGTGAGGATGCTACATGAACACATCTAGGCTACACTTGAGAGAAATCACACAGAAATTCATAACGTGAAGAGTTAAGTCATTTCAACTTTCATATCTAGAGGGTTTCTCCAGTACCTCCACTTTGCTTCTTAATCAGAAAGCTTCCATCTATTCAGAAAAAGGTAACAAGGAAAGTAGTAATATTTTTCCTTATATAACCTAAAATATATCACCATATTTGAAGTCACTATTTCTCAAACCCACAGTAAGAAATACATTTTAATCGTGATCTAGTACATATGCACATACCTGAAACAAGTTTTTTGAATTAGTATTTGCCATTACTGTGTGTGAAACACTTTGATATTTTCTGTTCTTTTTCTTTTCCCTGATAGTCATCACCTAGTACATTTGTTATACAATTCATTAATAGGTCAGAACCCACCATTTAAAATACACTGTTCTAAGTAATCTCTTTAAGTAATAAAATGTGCAGATGATCTGCCTCTGGCATATGTCACCAATACGTTATTCTGTCTTTCTTTTAAAATAACGTCATTTAGGAATTGATGCAACCAAGACCTTAAAACACCTTAACCAGAGCATATTAGATTTCCAGTTATTTTCAAGGCCTATATTTTCTCATTTATATTGAATATTTAGTGTGTATAAGGCACTGTAGCCAAAAGAGCATGTTTGGTTCTTGTTCTCAAGATTTATAGTGAAAAATCCTAGAGGAGACTAAAAAGTTAATATACTAAATGTTGAAAGTGATAATCCACACACAGTGACTTTTATAGGCATTTACGATAGGGAGAAAACTTTATAGGCATGTAGGAAGGGGTTAACATAAATGTGGGATGGCAAAAAACAAACAAAAGGCCGGGCGCAGTGGCTCACGCCTGTAATCCCGGTGCTTTGGGAGGCCAAGGTGGGCAGATCACCTGAAGTCAGGAGTTTAAGACCAGCCTGGCCAAAATGGTGAAACCCCATCTCTACAAAAATACAAAAATTAGCCAGGCATGATGGAGGGTGCCTGTAATCCTAGCCACTCGGGAGGCTGAGGCAGGAGAATCACTTGAACCCAGGAGGCGGAGGTTGCAGTGAGCCGAGATCATACCACTGCACTCCAGCCTGGGCGACAGAGCGAAACTCCATCTCAAAGGAAAAAAAAAAATGTGGGGTGGATTTTGCATTGTTGTATCAGAAAGTAGAAAAAAAATTACACATGGTAGAAGCAGCATTCATGTCAGTGCACAGTGCTTCTTGCTCATACTTGAAGTTCATTTTTTTTTTGATAAAGTAACTGAGAAATTAAAAAATAAGAAAGTTTGGTAAACTGCTAAATTAAATATATGATATAAACAGGGTATGTTATTTTAGCTCTACTGTGGTTGTAAAATGAAGTTTACTCAGGAGCTCAATTAGAAACTTGTGTGTATGATAGCTCTGATAAAAGCCAATATATGCCCTAAAATGATAATATTAACATTGAATTACTAGGTTTACTGAGAATGCAGATAATCTCTAAATGGGGAGAGTGCTCATCTGTCAAAATAAGTGAATAAGGTTACTATTTCTCTCTCTCTCTCTCTCTCTCTCTCTCTCTCTCTATATATATATATATATATATATGTAGTTTTTCACAGACCAGAAACAGGATTTATAATAGAGGTAGCATTTTTCAAAAAGTTATACACACTGTATGCTATGCAATTAAAAATCATATAGGCTGGGCATGGTGGCTCACACCTGTAATCCCAACACTTTGGGAGGCCCAGGTGGGCGGATTGCTCGAGCCCAGGACTTTGAGACCAGCGTGGGCAATATGGTGAAACCCTGTCTCTATAAAAAATAAAAAAAATTAGCCAGGTGTGGTGGTGTACACCTATAGTCCCAGCTACTTGGGCAGCTGAGATGGGAGGATCACTTGAGCTTGGGAGGTTGAGGCTGCAGTGAGCCGTGAGTTTGCCACTATACTCTAGCCTGTCTCAAAAAAAAAAAAAAAAAAAAAAAAAAAATTATATGCATGCTTCATAGGCCTGGGCTTAATCCTCTCTTTTCTAAATAGAATGGAGGCTCAGGATGCTAAGTCAGAACCAGGTGTTGACTTAAGAAAATAAGTAGTGGACTTGTTTTTCTTTTTGAACTTCTGCTGTCTTCTGTGGGATAATGTAGAATTTACTTGCTGTAGAAGATATTTAAAGAAAAGAAGATTCAGCTTGTAAGGATACTTGGGAAAGAGCCAACCTGCCCTGAAAGTGTGGTCTAGCATCCTGTCTGCTGTTACTTTGAGGCACCAGAAGTCTACTAGTTTTTGTTACTTTCCATATTGAGTTGGGAAGTTAGCAAAAAGATAACCATCTTTTCGTTTTCTCAGATTTTATAGACTACTGAAAAGAAGTTGCTTTCAGAGCTGGAGATGTGAATAAAATTTCTGTGCCAGGGTTGATAAACCATCTTGAGGTATATTTTTTTCTATTTTTAAATAACTATATTTTTTAGAACAGTTTTAGTTTTACAGAAAAATTGAGAAGATGGTACAGGGAGTCCCCATATACCCTGCACTCCGTTTCCCCTATTATTAACAGCTTACATTAACATGGTACATTTGTTACAATTAGTGAACCAATATTGAAACATTATTATTAACTGAAGTCTGTACTTTATTCAGATTTCCTTAACTTTTACTAAACATGTTTTTCTCTCTTTCAGGATTCCATCCAGGAAACCCCATCACAGTTGGTTGTTATGTCTCCTTAGACTCCTCTGGGCTGTGACAGTTTCTCAGACTTTTGTTTTTGAGGAGTACTGATGAGGTATTTTGTAGACTATCACTCAATTGGGATGTGTCAGATGGTTTTCTCGTGGGTAGAATGGGGTTATGGGTTTTGAGGAGGAAGACCACAAAGATAAAGTGCCACTCTCACATTCTCATCACACCATGCAAACAGTCCATACTATCAACTTGACTTATCACTGTTGATGTTGACCTTGATCACCTGGCTGAGAACGTGTTTGTTAGGTTTCTTCACTGTAATCTTTTTTTTTTTTTAAACACCTCTTTCCTGTATTGTGCTCTTTGGAAAGCAGTCACTGTGTGCAGTCCACACTGAAGAGGTGGGAGGTTATGCTCCACCTCCTTGAGGTGAATTATCTATGTAAATTGTTTGGGATTTCTGCGTGGGAGGCTCCCCCCAACCCTCATTTATTTATCATTCATTCATTTATTCAGTCATTTCTTTATATCAGCATGGGCTCATGGCTATTTAATTTATACGTTGGGTTATAATACAATACTACTTTATTTTGGTGTTCAAAATTTTCCAGCTTTGACCATTGGGAGCGCCTTCAGTTGGCTCCTGTGTCATTTTGACATGCCCTCATCATCATGGGATTTTGATTTTTTAGTACTTCCTTACTTTCTGGTACTACAAGATGCTCCAGGCTCATCCTATATATTCCCTGCCCCAGTTTTAGAATCATCCATTTCTCCACAGGGCCTTGGTTCCCTTTATTAAAGAGAGAATGCAATTAGAAATCAAGATCTGGATTCTGGGTGTGCTCATTACTCCTGGGGTATTGTTGCCTCTGTGTCCTCTCAGCTGAAATTTCTGCGTATGTAGTCTCTATATATTTATGCATATTTATAAATATTCTTGTGTATAAGTTTAATGTGGCAGCTAACAAACATTCTTTGTGGGAGCTGTTAAGTTTAAATTAAATATGAATATATTGTTTCTGGAGGCCATATTTAAATTGAAAATGTTTTTGAGGATTATTTTAATATAAATATTTCAGTCTTATAGTATATCTCTTGAGACTATAACAGAATATGAGATAGATGCAGTGAATATGTGACTATTTCAAAATGGTTTCTATTGTAATAAAAATCCTATAGGATGACTGTTTCATAAATTATTTAGAAGGCTTAATTTAGGGGAAATAATAACTATCGTATTCCTCTCTCCCTTGTTATTTGGTAGCACCTTTACATGTATGCATTAAAAATCTTGAAAAATGGAACTCTTATCTCTGCCAGTAAAATATCATTTGTTATGCCTCAATATTAGCCACTTTTTATTACTGTTTAACTTGAATAATTCACACACTAGTATAAAAACTTCTGTTTTAAAAGCAAGGTTTGGTTTAAACTGTTGTTAAGAGTTATGACATCATCAGAGTCTTACCAGGTAGCCAGTAGTACAGAAGAATAATGGTTAAGAGCATAACCTTAAATTTGTATCTTAGTTTTGCTACTGGCTGACTGTGTAACCACAGGCAATTTATTTGCCCTCTCTGAACTTCAAGTTTACTTATTTGTAAAATGTGGATGATAATATTACCTCTCATGGAAGTATTTTGGGGATTAAATGAGGTAAAGCACTTAGCACAGTACTTGGTACACAGATACGGCTCAATAAATGTGATCTAAAATCAAAACCTCCAAAGCAGCAAAAAAATGGGTGAAAGCTTGAAAGCTTTATACTCATATACATACTGTGTTTTGTTCAACAATTATTACTGGGCCAGACCAACCAGAAAAATTAATGATTCTTTTATTTTGCAATCCTAAAATTCCTCTCAAGACAAGGCTAACTTTTCTTCAAACCTGGGAAATGCTCACTCACCTCATTACCTTAATATGCTAGCAGTGGCTGTCAGCCCACGAAAGTATTGCCTCTCTAGAGGCCACTTGGGGGTGCTACTGAGATTTTATGGGAGGGGCCAGGATGCTAAATACCTTTCATTGCCTGGAATAGTCTTGCATGACAAGGAATTCTTGTGCCCCAAATTATTGCATCAATAGTATGCCGTTGAGACACACTAGAGTACACTGATACTTACCGTTGTATCTTTGAACCTTTCTGCAGAACACATTTTGGGTGTCACAAACCCAGGAGATACCTAGATGGGTGAAGCAAGGCCAGGCTGCAGTGCTTGGGACCAGCTAGGGAGTATAGGAACTAGGCAAACTGTCCTTTCTAAAAGGGGAGTGGTACCTTAGCTTCAGCCAGTTGTTGCCTGCAGTTGCTAGATCATGTGATTTTTCAGAGAAAAGCTAGATATGTAAATTTTTATGTGAAATCTCCCAGCTTTTTTTTTTTTTGAGATGGAGTCTCGCTCTGTTGCCCAGGCTGGAGTGCAGTGGCCAGATATCAGCTCACTGCAAGCTCCGCCTCCCGGGTTTACGCCATTCTCCTGCCTCAGCCTCCCGAGTAGCTGGGACTACAGGTGCCCGCCACCTTGCCCAGCTAGTTTGTTTTGTATTTTTTTAGTAGAGACGGGGTTTCACCGTGTTAGCCAGGATGGTCTCGATCTCCTGACCTCGTGATCTGCCCGCCTCGGCCTCCCAAAGTGCTGGGATTACAAGCTTGAGCCACCGCACCAGGCCAGTCTCCCAGTTTTAAATGTAGCTCAACTTAAAACAACACTGCGGCGGCCAAACCAGGCAAATCTGTGGGCTGAATTCATTGCACAGACCATTGGTTTTACTACCTCTGATACAACTGTTTTAGGAAGTGACCTAAAATTCTGACAGAGGTAAAACACTCTGGGCCATAATGGCACCACCCTGTTTATTTGCTGAGCTCAGAAAAAAACTGTGGAAACAAAGCACTAGATGTCGACATCATTTTCTAGAGTGTGGGGAATTGTGGCATTAGAGCAGAGCTCTGGGGGAGCTTCCTCTCTGATTGGGAGAAGCAATTCTGTTGGGAGACATCCTAGCAACTGCTTTTTCAGGAACAGAAACCACTGTGCCTTGTGTTACCAGCAGTCTTGAATTAGGGAGGTAGCTGCACCACTGAAGGAAGCCTCTGATTCCACTGCTAAGCATAGCATCTGGGCCCCATAGTGTGTCTTGCCTTTAAGAAAAAAATCCTCACAAAGCTGACATGCATTAAAGGCTTAAAACTCTGCAGAATCTCTTGGTTCATGTGGCCCCTGAACTGTGTGATGATCATAGGGTTTATGTCTTTAGTATTTCTTCTTTCTTGATCTAGGGTTACCGCCTACACAGCTCCACAATCCACAGCTGTGGCCATCTGGACTTTAGTGGGAGTGTTTCAAGGGTATCCCAGGAGTTTGGTCATGCCTGAGCCTAGCCTGTACAGTTTAGATACTGCTTGAGTCCTCTGTCTGGTTTTAAAGTGACAAATCATCATTCAGCGCTTATTGTATTAAGCCCATTATAATGTTAAGAAACAAACTCAATGTGTATTTTGCTTAGTAGTTGTTGCCTACATTGATATATATGGACAAGAATAGATTATATGCTTTGATCTGCATGGTAGCCACATCTATAATATGACACTATATGACAGTGTTTTCAATTGGATTAAATATAAAAGTACAGTGTAATACTTTACTGTAAAACTTTGTGTTTTTAAAGGAAACTGACTATATTAGGCCATTCTTACATCACTGTAAAGAAACACCCAAGGTAGGGTCATTTCTAAAGAAAAGAGGTTTAATTGGTTCAGGATTCTACAGGCTGCATAAGCATGGCACCAGTATCTGCCCAGCTTCTGGTGAGAGCCTCAGGAAGCTTAACAATCATGGCAGATGGTGAAGCAAGAGCAGGCATGTAACATGGCGAGAGCGGGAGCAAGGCGGGTGGGGGAGAGGTCCTAGAGTTTTAAACAATCAGATCTTGAGTGAATGGAACAAGGACTCACCTAGGATGGTGCTAAACCATTCACAAGGGATCTGCCCCTATCATCCAGTCACCTCCCATCAGGCCCCACCTCCAATGTTGGGAATCACATTTCAACATGAGATTTGGAGGGGACAAACATCTAAACTGTATCACTGACTTAATTTATTGGCTGGAATATTTTCTATTTGTAAACAGAAAGCCTCCCAGTGAGCAAAATGGAAATTGCTTTTTTAAAGTATTTTAACATGATATAGTTATCAAAAAATTAAGTTTGAGTGTTATATATTACAGTGAAATACTAAATGATTATTCATGTCAATTAGTGCTTATGTGAGTGAATGTTTGTACAGGGCAGAGTGCTAACCACTATTAAGATTACATACATAATCCCTTAAGGGAGGATATGTGTTTACCAGTTTAGATTGCTATTTGTTGTGAAAAGTCAGTCTATTAATCATCTTTTCAGATGGTAGCCATTTTTGTAAGCTGTTGGCTTCCATTTGAAAGATGCTTTCACATGTTTCTTCAAAGGCAAGTATTTATAACCATTTTTTCAAAAGGCATTTTCTTCTTGTGTGTTTAAACAGCTAACTTATTTGTACAAGAATTTTTTCCTTCCCTCTCAGTCGTCCACCTCACCACACACCTTTAGCTCCCTATTTGAATGATAAACTTAATGAGGGTTTGCTCCTTAGCCAGTCAGAGAAAGGCACTCATAATTAGAAATGCTCTGATACCTACTAGTGACACAGTAGAAAGAACACAGACTTTGGAGAAGGCAGGCATGGATTTGAGTCATGATTCTGCCGTATGTTCATTCTTTGAGTTCATTTTCTTATTTGTAAAATGGAGATAATCATAACTACCTTTGAGGGCATACCAATAAATGGTAGCTAATAATAGTGATAAAAATAATGGTAACCTTGGATTCAGTAGCATCTGAGGTTTCTGAAGGCTCTGACAAAGCTAGGTGAGAGCTGGCCGCTCTCAAGATCTCTGAAGTATATGGAGCCTATGCTTTTGACACGTGAAGCCTGTCTGTCCTTGTTTTGATCCTTCTTGCCTTTTCTTCTATCTCATAAAAAAGACAATGGTATTGCCCTTGTATTTTAAAGGCTTGTAAGTAAGGTTGGGAAATGAATAAAACCGTTTTTGGGAGCCACTGGGAAAGCTGGAGTTAGGCCTTTGGCTGCTTCAGAAGCTCTTTATTGAAGGTTTGATTAAATAGCCATGAACTGTTCTGAATGTAGTTTAGCACCTCAAATATTGGGATCACTTCCTGTTAGGAAAACTGTTATTTCTGTAAATACAAGCAGATTTGATGAGTTAAGGTCATCCCTACCATTAAATTCAGTGAATTCCTTTTTTCTCCCCATTTCTCCTAATAAATATTTATTGAACACCTAGCCTGTGCTAGGCCGTGTGCCTACTTGATTGTATACCCTAAAAGGAGATGCTGAATTAAGGAATCTAAGAGTTCTAGGTTGTTGCCTATTATTTAAATGAAGATCCTAAAGCCTTAGAGCTGCACTGTCCAGTAAAGTAGCCACTAACTACAGGTGGCTACTGAGCACTGGAAATGGGACCAGTGTGAATTAAGATGTGCTGTAAGTATAAAATATACACTGGATTTCAAAGATATCATTTGAAATATATATATAAAATAACAATGATTTTATGTAGGTTACATTTAAAACAATATTTTTGACATAGGTTAAATGTTACAATTAATTTCACCTGTTTAAGTTGGCCACTAGAACATTTCAAATTATACATATGACTCACATATTTTTACTGGACAACGCTGCCTTAGAGCCTCAGTGACTTGGTAAGATTATACATCTAGCTAGGGCTCCTTTGGCCAGTGGAAATTAGAAATTGCTTTACTGTGAAAATGGAAGATAGATAATTCAAACCCCATTCAGAAAAAAGTTAAATTAACACTAAGGACTTTGAAACATTTTAAATCCTGGATTGTTAATCTGGTAGAATCTCTTAGTATTTCAGATTTGGGATTTTCAACAGGGACAAACTGGAAAAATATACCCATTGATTTAGTAGCCTAAACCAATTTTTTTTCCCTAAGCGTTCACAAGTTACCCTATATAGGTGACTCCACTCCCTCGATATTTGCTGGGTGGGGGATGGCAGGAGATGGGGGGACAAGATTCATCTAAAAGGCTTGTCTATATATTTTTGAGTATGAATATTGTTTTATCCAAATCTATCTTATTAGGTAGATTGATTTAGTATAGTGAAATTGATTCATCATTTAACGATACTTGAGTAGATATGGGGTTGGGCTCTGGAAATACAGTGGTGAACAAGGCACAGACCTTGAGTAGAGCTACAGGCTTTTGTTTGGTTAGCTGGTTTTTGTTTTCATTTTTACTTTTTATTTGGAAATAATTTTAAACTGACAGGAATTATGAGAATAAAAATAGGAGAAAGAACACTGTATACCCTTTACCCAAATTCACCTATTAACATTTTCCTGTTTGCTTTATAGTTGTCTGTGCACACAGGTATGTGTGCATGTACACGTTTGTATGTACACACACGTACATATTTTTTTTTCTGAACTATTTGGGAGTAAGTTGCATGCCCTTTACCACTGAATGCTTCATTGTCTAATACCTAAAAATAGGAATATTCTCTTATGTAACCACAGCACAGTTATCAATTCAGTAAACAGGAAATTCAGTACATTTATTGATACAGAATACTTCTGATCTACCGTCAACATTTCACTTCGGTTAATAGATCCACTCATTTATTTTATAACAGTTTTCCCTTTTAGTATAGGATCCAATCTAGGATCAGGTAAAAGATTTAGTTGTCATGGCTCTTTTTTAACCTGGGACATTTTTCAAACCTTTGTCTTAAAATGACATTTCCTCCCCCCACCCTTTTTTATAGAAAAACCCAAAATGAGAAATGTTCTATTTCCTTATGATTAGTTTCAGGTTATGCATTCCTGACTATAATACTATAAAATGATGTGTTCTTCTCATGGTGTCACATCTGGAGGCCTATGCAGTCCATCTGGCCCTCATTGGTGATGTTCATTTTGATCACCCAGTCAAGATGTTGTTCAATTTGTCCACTGTATAATTAAATTTTTCCCCTTTGCAACTAATAAGCTTTGGGTACACAATTATAAAACTGTGTGTACTTCCTACTCTTCGTGCAGATTTTCCCCTAGATTTAGCATCCATTGATGATACTTGCTTGAAGCAGTCTCTATACTATGATGACTGCAAAATGATTTTTCCAGCTCCAGCACTCCTGCATGTTTACCGATTGGATTTTACTGTAAGCAGGGACTTCCCTTCTCCCCTATTTTTTTATGTATGTATTTAGCTATCTTCATTGATACGGATGCACGGCTCCCTCTTTTCTACAGGTTTATAACTCATTACTGTCTTCTATTATTTTGGTATTCAAATTGTTGCAAATGTGGCCAGTGAGTGCACCTCTTCAAGTTGACTTCCAGGTCCTTATATGTTCCCATCACTTCTTGAGTACATCCTCACTGTCTGTAATAATGAGCTATATTCCAGGTGGGGCTTCAGGTTTTTTTGGTTTTTTTTTAAATAGGTGAGAGCTTTAGGTGCATAGATGGTTTCAGTATAGTGTGTTTAGTGTTCCTGTGAGGGTAAGCAAAGCCTGCTTTGGCAGCATCATGGAGGGGAGAGGCAAGGCAGCAGGACTAAGACGGGGAGGGTCAGTGGAAGCCTCCTTAGAGGAGATGCCACCACTACTGAGTTGTACAGGATCAATAGGAATAAAGTGAAATATGTAACTAGACTTAACCATACTTTTTTTCTTTTTTAAATAGAAAATGACTGTGGTGCTAGAAGATCATCACTTTTGGAAAGCCAGTTAACATCCATTTCCTAAGAGAAACTTGGCCACCATTTGCTCTGGCATGGCGCAAAGCAGCCCACAGCTTGATATTCAGGTTCTCCATGATCTTCGACAACGTTTCCCTGAAATTCCAGAGGGCGTGGTGTCTCAGTGCATGTTACAGGTAAGTTACCTACCAGTGATAATGATACTAAGTTTTAGTTTTTCCTATTAGAGCTGGTGATGTGTGATGTAATTAGAACCCAGTTATGTTTTCTTTGTGTGTGTGTGTATGTGTGGTCGGGGGGAACATTTAGAGCAGGATTTCCCCTCAACCTTGGCACTGTTGACAGTCTATCCTGGATAATTCTCTGTTGTGGGAGTCTGCCTTGTGCATTGTAGAATTACTAAACATTCTAGGCATCCGAGGCCTCTACCCAGTAAATACCAATAGCTTCCCCGCAGTTGTGACAACTGAAAATGTCTTTAGACATTGCCAGATGTCTCATGGGAGGCAAAATCTCCCACCATTGAGAACCACAGATTGGAGAGTAAAAGCAGGTAGCAACAAGAAAAACAGATTCTCCTTATGTTTCACTTTTTGAAGATTTTGGGTTGTACTATCAGTCCCTCAGTCCTTAGAGTTGAATTTTGAATCTCAAATTTATCGTTTTAACTTCTTAGACTATACACTTTTGAGTCTTTTTTTTTTTTTAAGTCTGTAGATAATCCACTCCTTGTTTTTCTAATGCTAAATCCTTACTGATATCTAATTTAAATGTAAGCCCACTTTAAATGTAAGCCCACTTTCACTCACATTACCTTTGTCTTGCTGTGTGTCTTACATTGAATCTCTCATCTCTAAGATAGAATGTGTCTTTCCCACTCAGGGGACAACAGAGAAGTAGGCCTACCACTTCCCCTGTCCCACTGTCCCCTTGTTGTGTTTTATGTCATCCTTCACAGGATCGTAGTGTTTTGAGTTATGGAACTTACCTATTTGCTTAACTGTGGGCAGCACTACTTCCACCATGCTCACTGGTCTTCCTCACACACAGTCAGTACTCATGTTCAAACTCTACCTTATGGCAGTGTGAGCAGCTCAGGATATAACCTAAACCTATATACAGGTGTGGTTAATTATAAATAGAGACTCACAGAACAATGATGGTAACAGAGGTGCTTCCTTTGTTTGCAAGCCCTTTACTAGTCTAGAGCTTTGGGCTTATGGTTTTTGTGTTACAGCTTGCCTTTGCTTTTTCTCACACACATTCCCAGCCTGAATCTCAGCTCTTTACTTTAGCCCCATTTTGGTTTCTGGTAGAGCAAAGATACTTCCCACCAGAGTGAAACCAAGTAAGGGTGAAGCTTTTAGTTTAAACCACTTCCTAGCAATCACCTTCCTCACCTATCTTAGGGCCCCACCTAGCCCTGACCTTGTTTTATTTCATTTAGCCCTTTATTACCTGCATTTCTCATGACCATTTAACTAAACTGAAGGAATAGAACTTTACATTCAGCTCAGTGAACATTTGTTGATAATTACACTGTCCTAAGTCTTCCACTTTTTTCTTCCTTTGGGATTAATAAAATATATTGTATGGAGATTTACCACCTACTGGCTCTGGAAAACTTTTTCACATTAAAATGTATGAGGCTCAGTAGTTTGCATTTAATGCGCAAGCCTTAGAGCCTCACTCAGGGGTATCATCCTCAATTTAGGATCACTTTTTAGGAATATGATGCTTTTTTGCCTCATTCCTTTCAAAAGTGTTCATTATATGTCTTAAAAATTCTTACCTCTGAAATGATTTTGATTTCTTCTTCATGTTTACTGTTTGATACATTTTTTATCCTTATTATAATCTATTCTGGTAGTTTTCTTTTTAAAATACTTCTGTAATAATAATACTTTAATATCTTGGTTTTGTGGTTTTTAAATTTTCTTCATAGGAAAATTTACTCAACTTGTCACTATAGACATGCTGACAATTCCAACTTTATATCATTTTGAATTTGGATACTTTTTGTGACAATACTACATAGGCTATCTAACTCAGCGTACAGAACATGGAATTTCAGGGTTATTAATAATAAAAATATCAGATGGTGAAGTATCCATGACTACCTTATGTTTAAAAGAAAACTCTCCAGTTTTTGTTTTCCCCAATCCATAGGTCTATTAAAAAAAAAAAATAGAATACTTTATTTCACCTTCCATATTTTTTTTCCTTCAGATGTCTGTCAGTGACACATTCTAGTTGCCAATCAGTTTGAATCCTTTGGCTCCAAATTTGCTTTTAATATCTTCCCTTCCTTGCTCAATACGATTTTCAAGCAAGGTAAAAATAATTCAGATCTTTGAGTTGTAATGATTTTCTTCTTCAATTAATACATCTTTCTGTGACTCAAAGTATTTTTAAAAGTATTTGAATTTTAAATTTTCTATATTGATAATAATTACTATTTGTTACTATCATCTGGGTAGGATGTTAATGTTTTACATGCATGATCTCATTTTTTAAAGTATTTGAATTTTAGTATCAAAAACTTTATATAAAGGTTAAAAATGATCTATAGAGTTTTAATAAAGCCAATTCATTAAATTTCTAAGAATTCATTTTGCAAAGATTTGCTTGACTTTTTTTTAAACTTCCTAAAGCTCTAGTTTAATAATGTCCTTTTGGCCAAACATCCTTTCCCTTGAAATTACCATGTGGAAAGAGCACTGGGACTCAGGAGAGTAAGAATCTAGAATTGACTTTCCAGTTAACTAGTTACGTGCCTGTTGTCAAGCAATGTAACTTCCCAGGCATCTCTTTCCTCATCTGTAAATGTGAGTTGCATTGGAGCAGATGAACTCTAATAGGAGTTCTCCCAACTCTAAAATTACAACATTATGGGTCCTGTTTTAGGTTTAACTTCATTTGGTTCTCAGCAGAAGTGAATTATTTCCTTTCGTTTTTATATAAAACATTTTTCCTAAAATATATAGTAATATCTATGCATGTGCATATCTCTGTGTATATTTATGAACTACAGAGAAAGTCACAATAATTGGGAAACTTTTATGGATTACTTCAAAAGCAGTGGATAATATGTGTCTTACACTAGTAAAATAGTTTGGAATTCTGTATTTCAATAGAAAACTGCTTTTTGATATATTAAAATTTTACAAAGAGGGAACCTTTTATTAGTCTGATTACTGTCAGTTGGAACTTCTAAAGTGTCAGTTTGCTATTACCTTCTTTGTGAGTGTGTAGAACTAAACAATTCACATCTTTCAGTGATTTTGAAAGTATACCAAGACACCTTTCAGCGGGTAAAAACTTTTGAGACTGTGAGGGTATGAATGAATTTAATTAAGGCAGTCGACACCAGGTTTTTAATTAAATTACCCTAACTCGGGCAAAGTCATGGAGCCATAGTTTAAGTTATGGATTTTTTTTAATACTTATTCATTTTGCTTAAATCTTATATAATGGTTCAGACAGTTGAAGTTATTCAAGGATAAATTTAGGTAAAAGAAAAATGAGGGCTGCTTTAGAATTTTTATTGTTTTAACTCTTGAGGAATTTTATTGTAATTCTTTTTCTCCTTTTGTGGTTTTAGTGCCTTTTAAAAACTAAAGCATGGTTATTTTTATGTTTTTTATCGATTTAAATATTAATCATGGATATTACTTATACTTATATTGCAGCAATTGTGGTGAATCCGAGATAAGCCCAACATTTTAATTTGTTGAGATGCAACAAGTATAAAATGAGTCCTGGATTTGGAGTCAGAAAACTTGGGGTTGAGTCACAGTGTTCATTAGTAGGTACTTTACATTTCTGTAGCAGTAGCAGTAGTGGTAGTACTAGTAATGTGAGCTAAATGTTTGTAAAGTAATATGGATCGTTTGGTATCTCCTTTTCAGGATAGATGACCATGAAGCTTTTTGTGGTTAAGATACTGCTCTCTATTTATTCTGTGACAGTAGTATTTGCATAACTCTCTGGCAAAGCCTGACTTTCACTATTAGAATTTGTTAATGTTGCCAATGTTACTTTTACCATTTTTCTCCCCTAGAATAACAACAATCTTGAAGCCTGTTGCCGAGCCCTTTCCCAGGAGAGTAGCAAATACTTATATATGGAGTACCATAGTCCAGATGACAATAGGATGAATAGAAATCGCCTTTTACATATTAACCTGGGTGTCCATTCTCCTAGTAGCTATCACCCAGGAGATGGAGCCCAACTTAATGGTGGTCGAACACTGGTACATAGCTCAAGTGATGGACATATTGATCCACAGCATGCAGCAGGTAAACAGCTGATATGTTTAGTTCAAGAACCACACTCAGCTCCAGCTGTTGTTGCTGCTACTCCCAACTACAATCCATTTTTTATGAATGAACAGAACAGAAGTGCAGCTACTCCTCCTTCACAGCCACCTCAACAGCCATCTTCCATGCAAACAGGAATGAATCCGTCTGCTATGCAAGGGCCTTCACCACCACCGCCACCTCCTTCATACATGCACATACCTCGGTATAGTACAAATCCAATTACTGTTACAGTATCCCAGAACCTCCCTTCTGGACAGACTGTACCAAGAGCTTTACAAATTCTTCCACAAATTCCAAGCAATCTCTATGGATCTCCTGGTTCTATTTATATTAGACAGACATCTCAGAGTTCATCAGGAAGACAAACTCCTCAGAATACACCGTGGCAGTCCTCACCACAGGGCCCAGTGCCTCACTATAGCCAGCGTCCTTTACCTGTTTATCCACACCAACAGAACTATCAACCTTCTCAGTATTCTCCCAAACAGCAGCAGATCCCTCAGTCTGCTTACCATTCACCACCTCCTTCTCAATGTCCTTCACCCTTCAGCTCTCCACAGCATCAAGTGCAACCTTCCCAGTTGGGCCACATCTTTATGCCACCTAGTCCTTCAACTACTCCACCCCATCCATATCAACAAGGACCTCCTAGCTATCAGAAACAGGGAAGCCATTCAGTAGCCTATCTTCCATACACAGCATCTAGTTTATCCAAAGGTTCCATGAAGAAGATAGAAATTACAGTTGAACCTTCTCAAAGACCTGGGACAGCAATTAATAGGAGTCCTTCACCCATCAGTAATCAACCATCTCCACGGAATCAACACTCACTATACACAGCCACCACGCCACCTTCAAGTTCTCCTTCAAGAGGGATATCTAGTCAACCAAAACCTCCGTTTAGTGTTAATCCTGTGTATATTACATACACACAGCCAACTGGACCTTCGTGTACTCCATCACCATCTCCTCGAGTGATACCAAACCCAACTACAGTTTTTAAAATTACCGTAGGCCGAGCAACGACTGAAAATCTTTTAAATTTAGTGGACCAAGAAGAGCGCTCTGCAGCACCAGAACCTATTCAGCCCATTTCAGTGATACCAGGCTCTGGGGGAGAAAAGGGAAGCCATAAATATCAGAGGAGTTCTAGTTCTGGATCAGATGACTATGCCTACACACAAGGTAAACTTTAACCCTTTTATGAAATTTCATTTCTGTGGTGAGGCAGCAATCTCCCATTCAAATATATTAGCTGTTTAGTTTTAATTAAATGTTTAGTATTAAATGTTGGGCAGTAGCATTGCTATTAAGAATAAAGTTAGTGGTCGGGTGTGGTGGCTCACGTCTATAATCCCAGCACTTTGGGAGGCTGAGGCGGGTGGATCACCTGAGGTCAGAAGTTTGAGATCAGCCTGGCCAACATGGAGAAACCCCACCTCTGCTAAAGTGTGGTAGCGCACGCCTGTAATCCCAGCTACTCGGGAGGCTAAGGCAGGAGAATCACTTGAAGCCAGGAGGCAGAGGTTGCAGTGAGCCGAGATCACGTCACTGCACTCCAGCCTGGGCAACAGAGGGAGACTGTCTGAAACAAACAAAAAGAATGAAGTTAGTGCTTCAGAGTCATCTATAGACTTTGTTTTAAAACATGAAATTGTAGGCCTAATAAGGCTTAGTTTAGAAAGAATATTCATAGAGCAAAAAATACAAGTGAAATGGAAATTGTCAAAAGTACAAACTACAGAGTAGGAAAAAAGAGATTCATGGAAAATGGAGTAAAGTTCATCAAATGAAAGAATTTGAATCTTTTCTAAAGAGGATGGCCCAGAGGGCATAATGATATTTACATATAAATAATATATAAGAAGTGGAATTATTGGATTAGCTAATAGTAGACCTAAATTAGATATAGAGTTTTTAAAACGTCTATTCAGATTGTTTCAAGATACCTGAGAATTTAGTTTTCTTTCAGTATATAAGAAGGGAAGTAATGATTAAGTATGCCTGGTAGTCAGCCTGTTCAAAACACACACAAGTATAAAGAGAATCTTAGGACAATAGAACAAGAGGGATGTTCAGGTGATGTCACTTTGGTAGCATTCAGAGAGCTAAATTGAAGCAGATATGGAGGCAGCATAGCATTATAAAGACATGAGAGTAAATGCCAACCCCCAAGTTGAATTGAGTCTTTTATACATTAGTAATACATATCGAAATTTTCCAGTCACTTGTTCAGTGTTGTTCTCTGCAATGATGTTATCTATAATGCTGTAGCCTTGCTGTTACATCAACGAGCAAGGATGGAGAGGTTAGCAAAGCAATTGAAACTTGAGAAAGAGGAGCTAGAGCGGTTGAAGTCTGAAGTTAACGGTATGGAGCATGACCTGATGCAGAGACGGCTCAGAAGAGTCAGCTGCACCACTGCGATCCCTACGGTAAGTGAACTGTTAGATGTGTTAATAGGTGGGTCGGGATATTGGCTATCAGGTCATTTATTTTTCTTTAGGTTTTATTCCTGACAGAGTTCTGGGTTTTTTGTTGTTGTTGTTGTTGCTGTTTTTTAAAACAATAGATGAAGGACTTTTTCCTTTAGTAGTTCTTGTCAAAATAATTCATGTATGCAAATTCCATAGGCTCATCAGTATTTTCAAACACTGATGATAATAATCAAGGTATAGCATCTCATTTATTTGTAAATTGCTTTCTGTCAAAATAGAAAAGTGCACACTGACCAAAAATTTGATGAATTATTCTTTGTGTATTCATTTATTATTCTAAGCGTATGATATATATATATTTTTAAACATTTAAAATTATTTTTATAAGTACATTAGTTCAGATGATTTAGAATAGATCAATATGAGTTTTGGGGAAGTGTTGACTGTAGAATATTTTAAGGCAGAGCAGTTTTGTTAAGTATAAATAATTGTAGAAACTGAGGTAACAGTATTGATTGATAGCAGTCTTAAAGGGAACTGCTCTAATGAAAAGATTCAGATAATATATTTTTAACATGTTGGTTAATGTATATGAGTTCTAACGATCCCAAGCAACTGATAATTTTGAAACATGTTTAAAATCTTGTGACTTCACAAGCTATGATCCAACCTATCATTTTACCTTTCAACATTTAGCAGTTTTGTGCATATAGTTTATGAAATGTGATACTATGCTAGATGCTTAGTACATACCTACCAGTGGGAAAAATAGATACATCAACAGATAATTATAATACAGTGTGGTAAGTGCTCTATATGTTCATGGGTAATGAGAGAATTCATACATCAACTCGTTTCTGTGCAGATTCAATGCACTTCTCTGCTCTTACATTATCCTCCTGCTGGAATGCCCGTCTAAAAAGCTCTGCACGTGTAAATCTTGTCTGTTCTGTTCTTCAAGGCTCAACTTAACCTCTACTTTTTCCATGAAGCCTTTCCTCATTTTCCTACCCTCTCTAAACTTAGGGCAATCTCTGAGTTTACAGGTTTAGAGAAGTGGGCATATGTCAGGGCTCTTGCAGTCAGCATGTCTGCAGCCACTCTCTCATAGAGAAGTTTCTACTTGAGGTTCTTGGCTTCAAAGGGGATCTGTGAATTCTCTGAAATTATATGCAGAGTTTCATAAGTGTGTCTAATACGGGAAGTGGGTCTATAGCTTTCATCAGATTTTCATAAGATTATTATATTGAAGGAAAAAAAGAGTGAGGAACCACTGCCCTAAACAATAGGCAGAGAGAAAAGGGGAAGGCATTTTAGAAAAGAACAATAATAAGGTAATGAAGGCTTGAAGTCAAGATGGAGAGTGACTTTTAGGAGACAGTGACTACAATTCCCTGGCATAAGCATGAGATTTCTGAAGAGTTAACAGAGGGTAAGTGGGGCTTTGACCTTGAATGCTAGGTCGAGGTGCTTGAACTTTATTCTGCTGGTAACAGGGAACAAGTGGGAGTTTTTGAGAAAGAGAGTCTTGAGAAATAGTCATATTCACTAATTTAATGACTTTTTTGTAATATCGTCTATAGTCCTCAGTATAGTCAATATTAGAAGTGAGGAGGAAGATTTTAACTACTTAAAGCAATGGAAAAATAACAGAGCCATCTTTAATGGAAAGGTGATGTTACTACAAATCAAATTTCTGCCTCATTTTCTCCATTTGAAATCTTAATTGAATCCTCTGATTGTGGAAGATATTGAAGAACATAACCCATATGGGAATCCACCTATGGTGATTGAATACTTTGGAAACCTTTAGGTACCTGTAGAGCATAAACGAATTTTCCTAGTATAGTAATTTTCTTTTTTTTTTTTTTTTTTGAGACGGAGTCTTGCTCTGTTGCCCAGGCTGGAGTGCAGTGGCCAGATCTCAGCTCACTGCAAGCTCCGCCTCCTGGGTTTACGCCATTCTCCTGCCTCAGCCTCCCGAGTAGCTGGGACTACAGGCCACCGCCACCTCGCCCGGCTAGTTTTTTGGGTTTTTTTTTTTTTGTATTTTTTAGTAGAGATGGGGTTTCACCGTGTTAGCCAGGATGGTCTCGATCTCCTGACCTCGTGATCCGCCCGTCTCGGCCTCCCAAACTGCTGGGATTACAGGCTTGAGCCACCGCACCCGGCCAATTTTCTTTAATCATATACATTTTATTTAGCAACTACTTGCTGTGTGATAATCCCTGCTAAATAAAATACTGGTTTTTTTTTTGTTGTTGTTTTTCATTGGAAGTGGAGAACTGTCTAATGTAGCATAGGTTAGTACTTAAAAAAAAAAAAAGCCCCAGATTTTATATCAGAGCTCTTATTGACGTATCTTTTTTTCTTTTTTTCTTTTTTTTTTTTTGAGACAGAGTGTCTCACCCTGTCACCCAGGCTGGAGTGCAGTGGTACAATCTCGGCTCACTGCAACCTCCACCTCCCAGGTTCAAGTGATTCTCCTGCTTCAGCCTCCCGAGTAGCTGGGATTACAGGTGTGCGCCACCATGCCTGGCTAATTTTTTGTATCTTTAGTAGAGACGGGGCTTCACCATGTTGGCCAGGCTAGTCTTGAACTCCTGACCTTGTGATCTGCCCGCCTCGGCCTCCCAAAGTGCTGGGATTACAGGCATGAGCCACTGCACCTGGTCCCCAGTCTATCTTCTTGAGAAAGGAAAAAGAGAAGTTGGTGAAACTGCTGCCCTGGGCTGTAATTTAAAGTTTTATTATAATTTCAAAGATACATAAAATAGTATAATGAACCCCCATGTAGCCATCCCCCAGACTGAGAAATTGGTAGTTCATGTGGGTGCTAACATCTGAGAGATAAGACATTTAAGTGTGTTTCCCATGTGTTGCCAAGCCTAGAGTAAAATGGAGGACAATTGTAGTACACGGCAGAGGGACAGTTGTACGTGGTGGTTGAGACAGTGAGTAGGCTTTCAAGTCAGGTGCCAGTTTGAATCCTACTTCTATTTGTGTCATTCATGTATCCTTGGATAAGTAACTTTCTCTATGCTTGTTATCTATAAAATGTGTGGTATAGTACCCATCTTACGGGATTTTTATTAGGATTATATGAGGTAATTTATGTGAAGCAGTTTACACAATGCCCAACAAATAGTAAGTGTTCTTATAAAAGTGTTGGTTGCAAAATACTAGAAAAATTTGCTTGAGGTTTAGACACACAAATCTAAAGCATTTTGTACTTTGACTTCCTTTGAACTTGAGGAACATATATAAGATTATTCTTATGTAAGAAATTAATCAAGAAATAAATCATTTAGTCAGAATGCCCATTTTGCTCATCAAGGCTCATTTGAAGAACCATGACATAGTGGAAAGAGAGCCCACATAGGCTTTGGAGTCAGAATTGCTCAAGTGCTCACTGGCTATATCTGACTTCTCTGCATCTGATTTTCCCTATCTGTAAAAGAGAATTATAGCAGGTACATTATAATAATTGTCAAGATAAAGAGACAGTGTATGTAATAAGCCTGGCATGAAGTAGGTAATCAGTAGATGGCTAGCCTTATCATTGTCCCACTTGTGTATAGGAATACCCAGTAGAGAACTGATGTTTTTGCTACTAAAGCACACATTGCTACCTTCAAGTTTTCAAACAAATTGCTTATCAGGCAGTGTATACAAAATTGATTAGAAAGCTGCTTGCCTAATGATACTGCAGTGCACACTTGTGACCAGCTATGGGGTAGGGGGAGTTGTAGAAACTTAGAGTAGCAGTGAAATAATCTTTTTCTAAGGAGAGCAGAAGTACATGTAAGATGCATGATGGTGTCATTTCCCTTAATCTGTTATTTGCAAAGCATTGTATTAAATGCTGATGAAGATGCCATCTCTTAGATCTGCATGTGAAATGAGATAGGTATATCTGTGAGTCTGTATGTATTTGTGTGTGAGAGAAAATATAAGTACTTTCAAAGTATTGAGATAGAAATGTTAGCTTTTTGCCTATAAAGTTTATAGATGAAACAGTTTCAAGGAGAAGGGGGAAATGTAAGTTTTACCTTGAAAGATAAGATTTTAATATGCAGAAAGCTGCCAGTTGCCCCCTCCCTCAAGTTATTTCCCCCCATTCTTCCTGTTCTGATTAGGTTTTTGGACTCTCCCACAGCTTTGAGTCCCAGAGGCATAACTGAGGCCAAGCCACAAAAGAACATCAGTGGTCTCTGACGCTGGTCTATGCCAGCTTTGGAAAAAAAGCTTACCGTTTTTTATTTTGAAATGTTAGCTACAAACATCCTGTTATCTTACAGACAACTTTGAATTATACATACCCAATTTTGAAATTCCTTCTCCACAAAAACTACTTTTGACAAATGGCGGTAATTTCTCAGAAACTGCTTTTTTCCCCCCTCAGTTTAATCAGAAGCTATATGAAAAAGGACATAGGAATCTTACTGATAAACCCTTAGTAAGATCGAGTGCTTCTACTATCTTTGGAAATGAGCCTGTTGATGAGAGTACTTTTTGTTGTTTCTGAGTCTCGCTCTGTTGCTCAGGCTGGAGTGCAGTGGTGCAATCTGGGCTCACTGCAACCTCCACCTCCCAGGTGCAATCAATTCTCCTGCCTCAGCCTCCCGAGTAGCTGGGACTACAGGCATGCGCCACTACGCCCAGCTAATTTTTGTATTTTTGGTAGAGACGGTTTCGCCATGTTGGCCAGGCTGATCTCAAACTCCTGACCTCGAGTGATCCACCTGCCTCGGCCTCCCAAAGTGCTGGGATTATAGGAGTGAGCCATTGCGCCCGGCCTGATGAGAGTATGTTTTTTGTTATGAGCAAATGTGTGGTGGCCGCTTCACTGTTTAGGGCCACTGTGGCTGAAACATCTCTCTTGTCCCCAACTCCCTAAAACCTATGGAAAAGATCATCCTTTTCAGGTGCTTGACTTTCCTGATAGGTTCTTCCATGTGTTCCTAGGAAGACAGCATCACTGTCTGGAGCCCTTAACTAAATACATTATCTTTAATTTAAATGTTCAAGTATGTATTTTAAACTATTTGAATATTGCTTGATAGGCAAAGCACAAAGCATTTTACACATTAATGTCACATAGTTTTAGCCCATAGGAATTAGAAAAGGCAGTCCATAATAAATATTTCTGAATGACTTTTTTTGTTCCTCTAGCATTCTGTGGAATTGTAGCTATTATATTCTGCCTTTTATCACTTATTTTAAACTTCGATACCTGCTTATTTAATGGGCATTCTCAGTTATTCTGATAATACCTCCTAACATCATATGAATTAAGATATCCTTTCTGCTCATTTTTCTTTCACTGGCATATTAACATATTTAGCGTTCAGCAAAGTACATGTTTTTAACAGAATAGGATTTTGTTCTGCCTTCCTAGAGTAGCAGATACTTAATTTTTCACTTTATATGTTATAGTTAAAATCACCCTAGTCATTAATAACTGGGCTGTGCTGAAAGCTTCAGTATTTCAGCCTCTAGATTCTAAACTTTGACTTTCTTACTGTACATACATGTACACATGTGTATATATATACATATACACGTGTACATATGTACACGTGTATATATGTACACATATACACATATATACACATGTATGTATAAAATAAATTAAGAATGGCATGGGAAGTAAAGGCTTCCAAAAAGCTTTATTGAATGGAAGATTAGGACTCTCTTCACATTTCAGTGCCTCATATGTGCCCCTGAAAGGCCTAAGGAGTGGGCTGGCCTGAAGAGGTGGAGGCAGAAGAAAACAAAGTTGGGGAAAAAATGGAATTCAGTTGTTTCTGAAGTTTTCATGCACTAGAGTAATTGCCTCCTTCAATCTAGAAAAAAAGATGACAAAAATATTTATATATGAATTTATATAGGAGTCTTTTATATAAATCCTGGCTCTACCAATTACTAGCTTTATAACTTTAAGAGAAGTATATAACCTCTCTGTGCCTCGGTTTCCTCATCTACAAATTGGGCACAGTATTAGTACCTACCTTAAAAGATTGTTAAGAAGAAGGAATGAGAGAATTCTGGTAAACACCATACTGTTGTAATTTTTACCAGGCTGGACAAGACTAAGATCATGGACATGACTCATTTAAAAGGTTGATTCTTACATTTTCCCTTACCATGAAAACATAGAAACAAAATATTCTCAGTGCTCTGTGATTAAAATGGTAGTATCTTGTATGGTAGAACACAGTCCACTGTTGCAGCTCGCCACTTTATATGCAGATTTTGTTTATATGTGGCCATTTTGATGTCCCCATTTTACCTGACTATTCCTTTAAAAACATACACATAGGACTTCTTAAACATGCCCTCTTATGGACTAAGGCCATATTCTTGGTAATACCCAATCATTACAATTAACATGAAACGCAGTTCTTAAATGTTGGGCTTGATAATGACTTTCCCACAATTGCTATTTTGGGTCCTTTCTTACTAGCCTGAGGAAATGACAAGATTGAGAAGCATGAACAGACAACTCCAGATAAATGTTGACTGTACACTGAAAGAAGTTGACCTCCTTCAATCTAGAGGTATAGACTTGATTATTTGGTAAACCATAAGTAATAGTGTGGTATTTTAAGCTGCTTAAATAGCAATAACTTTGGTTTTGTAGATTTAAGAGACAGTTTTTATCCATGATAAGATTACAATCCTGGTAAAGAGATCGCCCTGTCCCATGGTCATGGATCAGATTTGGGGATGAAAAAATAGTTTTACTTTGGCAATTTCATCAAGTTCTTATCATTTAGACTGTTCTCTGTTGTTACTTTGCATTTATCCTTTTTTTGTCATTTACTGTGAATATTTTATAAATTGATGGGTTTTAATTCTAAAACTTAGTAGAGTTCATATTATGTGATAGACATCTAAAGTATCTGTAAAAAGGGATCCCAAATCAGAGTATCAGATTTCTCAGTTTTAAAATAAACTCTATATGTTATTTTTCATGTTATGTTATGTGAAAACATTCAACTATAATCATAGTTTTAGTTTTTTGGATTTTTTTACAGAAGTATACTACAGCAGAAGCTCTCTTAAACTTTCATTTACCCAACTCACCAGATTAGAGATGGTCTTCATTTTCTGTGGAAAATATACTGACTGATGTCCACAGCTGCTGCATACTTTTGACTAGTAGGCTGCATTCTGGTAGGCCTATGAATATTGCTCCCATCGGTTAATTGTCTGCTTACCAAGAGTTGATTCTGTCCCCAAACCTGTTTATACCAGTTATTGTATTTCTGCATTTTAATGTTTCATAAACTGACATGAAGGAGAAAGTTGCTCTTTCTATGAAAGCCAAAGGCAGATCACTCAAAAAATAGGGATTGTGAATTAGATATTGGTGAAAACAACTGAAAAAGGTTAAGGGAGAAAATCATGTAAGTCTAAAAGGATTCTGTACTCAAATTGCATTATAAGTGTTCTTAATATCTTTCTTGCTCCATTCTAAAGCAATCAGAATTATAGATGAGGGTTCAGCAAACTAGGGCCTGTTGCCTGTTTCTGTGAATAAAAGTTTTAGTGGAGCGATAGCCATGCCCATTTGTTTACAAATTGTCTGTGGTTGCCTTTGTGCTTCAACAGCACAGTTGACTGCTTGCAACAGAGACTATATCACAGGTCCACAAAGTCTAAAATATTATCTGGCCCTTGACAGAAAAGGTTTGCCAACCTCTGCTGTAGGTCATCATGGGTGTGGTTTATGTAAGAAATACAATATGGAACCCCAGCCAACAGACACATAAAAAGTAGGTCTTCGTCTAACTTTAAAATATAGCTATATACAAGTGTTTTGTTACGTTAAAGTTGACATGTAATTTTTCTTAACGATTCTGTGTATTAATCAGCTTTCCTGCCCCCCCATCCCCCACACTTACTTTTCTTGATTATGGCAGCTAAGAGTTTCTACAGTGTTTTAAGAGTATATAATAAAATATCTCATTGCCATTTTTAGGCAAGATTAAACAAACAGTAGGCTGGGCACAATGGCTCATGCATGTATTCCCAGCAGTTTGGGAGGCCAAGGCAAGAGGATCACTTGAGCCTAAGAGTTAAGAGACCAGCCTGGGCAACATAGGGAGACCTCATCCCTACAAATCGTTTTTTAAAAATTAGCTAGGTGTGGTGGTATGTGCCTGTGATCCCAGCTACGTGGGAGGCTAAGGCAGGAGGATCACCCGAGCCCAGGAGGTCAAGGCTGCAGTGAGCCATGATTGCACCACTGCACTGCAGCCTAGGCACCAGAAAGAGACTTGGTCTAAAAAACAGAGAGAGATTAAAGATTAGTGGCAGGTGAACCCAAAAGACATGGCATTATCTGAACAGACAGAAGCAAATTTGAATGTGAAAATTGAGCAATCTAGTCAGGTACCCTTAAAGTTATTTGCAGAAGCCTAGTCACTCTCTAGCCCACTAACTTGAAGCAATCAAAGAATGACTATGCATGATGTAGGGGTTACATAAACTATTGCTACTGTATTTTACAAGATTGCATCAATTTTTTCTACTTGTGTGGTCTTTGAAGCAAAACAGTGAAACATTTGGTTAGGATACTTATAGTAAGCCTTTTGTGATCTAGAAATTAGAACATGAGCTGTAACAAGTAATTGAAGAAATACATATGCAGCTTCTTAAAGCATAAAAAGATCCAATTAATACATCAGATAGCACTGTGGCTTTTATGAGCTATCACAGCAATTATTTTCAGAAAATTATCTTAAAACAGCATATTCAAGTGGATAAAACATTTGTGAAAGGGCCTGCAAGGGAAACCACTATTAAGGTTTTACAAGCAAAGAGCTGTGTTTTTTTTGTCTGCATTGGACAATGAGCTCTTTGGGATACTTAGGCATTTCTAAATCTCTTTTCATAACGAATCTAAATGTATCCATTTTATACTAAATTCTACTCTTCCACACTGCAGAAAACTTTTTATACTGAGTTCCCAATCTAAACTTTTAAGCTAGGGAAGGAATCTAAACCTTTTTTGGTGGTGAGGGGGGAGGCAGGGAAATAAGCATTTAGAATAGATGCAAATCAGTGCATGATTTTATGAAAACCAGCTTTTTTTGTGATTTTTGGTAAGGAAAACGTGTTGGGGAAAAAAAAAGTAGATCTGGAAATCAAGAGATATCATATATTTAAACTATCAGTGTTAGTACCATACAGCATCTTCTATAAATAAGTATGGCTACAGTTAACCGTAATTGTTTAGAACAAGCAGAGCACAGTGATAGGTTCACAGAAGTGAAGGCAGCACCCAAAACTGGCACTAGATCAAAACCAGCCTTGGAGGAGACACGGCAGGAGATGTGGCTGAAATAGACACTAGACCAGGGAATGAACATTTGAAGACAGGTGAAAATTTTGTGGCAAGACAAAATTCTCAGGTATTGTTCTATCTATTCTGAAACTGGCACCTTTTATCATTGATAAATCTTTAGGAAACATTTAACATTTATGATTCTCCTTTTCTTGAAAATAAGAATACATAAACTGTTGATGTTATTTCAGATGTATTGAGGTTGTTCAGTAGTCTCAAAATATAACTTGATTAATCCTTGTAAATGTTTATATTTGGCTTCTTCCATAGTTCAATTTATAATGAATTTTTAAGGTAAATTATGAAAAATATGAAAGTAAGCTTTCATTATTTAAGTGTTCTTTCTCACGGTTTGTTCATTAAAAATCAAAAGCAGAAAGAGAAAACAGTTCAACCATCCTTTCATTTCTCCTCTTCATTTATCTCCCCAAATGCCCACACGCCTAATCCTGCCTAAGGAGACTAGCCTTACAATTAGAAAAATATTCCTTTAGGTGTAATACATTGTAGACATACATCTATGTAGTGGTTTTCTTGGGTTCTTTTCTCATAGCAATGAAAACACAATTTCATTGGGAGGATAGAATTATGTAATGAGTTCTGAAATCCTGGAAAACATTTTTTCCCTTATGTGTTTTATTTACATATTTTCTTTTAAAAAATCAAATAACAGGAAAAAAGAGTTCTTAAATGCCTGATGAATTTAATTCCTTTATAGGAAACTTTGATCCAAAAGCCATGAATAATTTTTATGACAACATAGAACCTGGCCCAATTGTACCACCCAAGCCATCTAAAAAAGGTGAGTATGAAAAATGTCACAAATATGATAGAAATAAATATCAAAATAATTTGGGATTTCACATTTATATCTGAAGAAACTTCCACTAGAGGTTAACTTATTCACCATAAAGTTACCATATTTTTATTCTTTTTCAGACAGGGTCTCATTCTGCTGCCCAGCTAGAGTGCAGTGGTGCGATCCTGGCTTATTACAGCCTTGACCTTCTGGGTTCAAGCGATCCTTCTGCCTCAGCCTCCCAAGTAGCTGGGACTGTAGGCACACACCACCATGCCCGGCTAATTTTTTTTATTTTTTGTAGAGATGGGATGTCACCATGTTGCTTACTGGTCTCAACAAATTTACCATATTGGTGTTAATGTGGCAATAATGAAATGTCCCCAAACTTTAGTTTTTAAAAAGTACTGAAATTAGTAACTCTTAGAATTACTGTCAGAGGTAATTTGATGGAATATATAATTTTTACAAACAGAAGTTGAAACGCTGTATTACATAGTTAACATTATAAATTTACTTAGCATTGTAAAAACTATAACCCTAAAAGATAATTCTCATAAAATAATGAGGATTTTAAAGGTCTAATGTGAGAATAGAAAGTTAGATTTGCAGTAGACTTAAGATTATTTTTCAGACAACAAAAGAATCCCTGTGTACTCAAAAGGGGAGCATAGCAATTAGTAGCGACTAGGTGTTTTCCCATCAAGAACAAAAGAAATCCTACATAACCAAGGTTTGAAGGAATCATTTCCGGATAATTGTTACATAGAAATGATTTAAAATTAAAGATATCAAATGTGTTCTTCTTATTTTTATGTACCAAATGTTTAACTGGCATTTCCATATCTTAAAAAATTAATTTTAATTGAACTTACACGTTTAGTCATTTAAGCCAGATGCAGTGGCTCATGCCTGCAATCCCAGCACTTTGGGAGGCCGAGACGGACGGATCACATGAGGTCAGGAGTTTGAGACTAGCCTGGCCAACATGGCAGAACCCCGTCTCTACTAAAAATTCAAAAATTAGCCAGGCCTGATAGCACGCGCCTGTAGTCCCAGCTACTCGGGTGACTGAGGCATGAGAATCACTTGAACCCGGGAGGCGGAGGTTGCAGTGAGCCAAGATCGTGCCACTGCACTCCAGCCTAGGTGACAGAGACCCTGTCATTTATTCATTCTTTCATAAATAAGTAGTCATTGAATGTAGATTAACTTTCTGCCTCATTCTTAATATTTTAATTCTTTTTGCCTTAAGCAACTCCAGGTAGATTGATCGTGAAGACACATAGAATAGTGGAGAATGCCTTATTTTTAAAAAAAAAATTACCAGAGAGTATAACATTTAACATCTCATCAGACTTACTTTTAATTAAAGAATATATAAATTCTATCTAAATACTACCTGACCTAATTATTTAAATTTTGGTTGAATAGTTTTCTACGTGTATTAAGCTCATTACAGTGTGGTTTTTTTTTTTTTTTTTCATTTATAAGTTGCAACACAGTATCTGTTCTTCTTTTGTTTAATATTACCATGGCTGTTTCATCTGATCTGCATTTAAAAACAGTCTATTGATTTCTTTTGAGATGGAGACTCACTCCGTCACCTAGGCTGGAATGCAGTGGTGCGATCTCAGCTCACTGCAACCTCCACCTCCCGGGTTAAAGCGATTCTCCTGTCTCAGCCTCCCGAGTAGCTGGGATTACCCACCACCATGCCCGGCTAATTTTTGTATTTTTAGTGGAGACGGCGTTTCACCATGGTGGCGAGGCTGGTCTTGAACTCTTGACCTCAAGTGACAGCCTCCCAAAGTGCCGGGATTACAGGCGTGAGCCACCGCACCTGGCCAAAAAATGGTTTTATTGATTTCTAAAAATGATACAAAGAATCATCTTAGTGGATGACTGCCAAGTGCCAGATTTGGCACTTTGGCAGCATTATATGCAGTTTCTTGCTGAAAGTCACTGAAGTGTATAGTTATCATTGATCAATTTAGTCTTCTGGGTTCATAAAATCAGAGTCTTTAAACTTGATTTTGCCTGAATGTCTACTAAAGAAGTATCGCCAGACAAACTTTAGTTCATTGATTCAAGGAGCTGTCTTAGAGGAATTGCCCTATCTAAGGGAGTGCATTGGAAAGTTTTTACCCTGGAAACAGGATCAAGTTGATTAGAAATGGTGGAATACACATGCACCATGAGCCATCCCTCAGCATAAACTCCCTATAGGTGTGGTGTATTAGTCTGTTTTCACGCTGCTGATAAAGACATACCCAAGACTCGGCAATTTACAAAAGAAAGAGATTTATTAACTTACAATTCCACATGGCTGGGGAGGCCTAAGGCAAGGAGGAGCAGGTCACATCTTAAAGAGAGCTTGTGCAGGAAAACTCTCCCTTATAATAACCATCGGATCTCGTGAGACTTACTATCACAAGACCTGCCCCCATGATTCAGTTACCTCCCACAACACGTGGGAATTCAAGATGAGATATGGGTGAGGACACAGCCAAACCATATCATGTGGTCTGAGGGACCCACCATAAATAACAGACACTGTCGTTACTCAGGAAATGTCAAGGTATTGAGCCAGGGACAAAGCCAGACCTCTCTTTGGGCAAGGCAGAATTCTTTCCTATGCAATAAAGCAGTGCTTAGAAGGGAGCATATAGCTTTAAATGCTCATATAAGACAGGAATATCCAAAATCAATGATCTAAAATTCTACCTTAAGAAACAAGACAAGAACAAAGTAAAACCAAAGTAGAAGAAAGGAAGGATAACAAAGCAAGAGTTTGATCTTTGAAAAGGTAAACAAAATCAATAAACTTCAAGGTAGACTGATCTGTAAAAAAAAAAAAAAAAGAGAACACAAATTATGATAATCAAAAGTGAAAGATGGGTTATCCATTACAATGATAATGATAATAAGGGAAAGTGATGGACATCTTTATGCCCGTCAGCTTGACACCTTAGATAAAGTGGACAAATTTCCTGAACCATATAATCTACCCAAACTGAAAACAAAACAGTAAATATTAGTAAGTATATGTGTGTGTGTGTGTGTGTGTGTGTGTGTGTGTGTGTATATATATATATATATATATATATAAAAGAAACTGAATCTACTATCAAAATTTTTCCCACAAAGAAAACTCCAGATCCAGATAGATTCACTGGTGGGTAAATCCTACCAAATATTTAAGAAAGTAAAAATACCAGTCTTACACAAATGCTTTGAGAAAATACAGGAGGGAATGCGTCCCATATTTCTTTTTTGTTTTTTCATTTTCTTTTTTCATATTACTGAGAGGAAGTTGCAGAGATTTTCCGTATACCTCCTGCCCCCCCAAATTCAAAGCCTGCCCCATTATCAGCATCCTACACCAGAGTGGTGCATTTGTTACCATTGATGAACTTATATTGACACCTCATAATCACTCAGAGTGCATAGTTTACATTAGGGTTCGCTGTTGGTGTTGTACCCCATCTTTTTTTATGGCTCTAGCAGAACTCTGATTCTAAAACCTGGTAAAGACATTATGTATCTGCCCCTCACAAAAAGAAAACAAAATTTCAGATCAATATCCCTCATGAACATAGAAACAAAAAATCCATAATTCTGTTTTCTATCTCATTGACTTATAGTCACAATATATTAAAAAAAATAATACATCATGATCAAGTTGAGTTTAGCTTAGGAATGTAATCTTGGTATAAAAGCATTAAAAAACCAACCAGTGTAATTTACCATATTAAACAAAGGGAGAAAAAGCATGTGATCGTTTCACCAGATACAGGAAAAACATTTGACAAAATTCAACAGCCATTCCTGACAGACAAAAACTTTTAACAAATTAAGAATAGAAAAGAACTCTTTTAGTCTCATAAAGGGCATCTTTCAAAAACCTTTAGCTACCATTATTACTTAAATAATGCAATCCTGAACTTACTAACATTGGGAACAAGGCAAGGATGTCTATTCTCACCACCTTTATTCAACGTTGTACCTGGAGTTCCAAGACCATGCAGTAAGAGAAATAAATAAATAAATAAATAAATATTGGAAAAGAAGAAATAAAACTATATATACTACAGATGACATAATTATTTTTAAAATCCTAAGGATACTAACAACAACTATTAGAACTAATAAGTGAATTTAACAAGGCCTCAGGATGCAAAGTCTATATATAAACATTTTTACAATATCAGTAAACACTTAGAAAATAAAATTTAAAAGAGAATTTCATTTACAATGCCATCAAAAACCATGTAACAGGAATAAATTTATCCAGAGATGTATACATTGAAAACTATAAAACATTGTCAAAGGATATTTAAGAAGACCTAAGTAAATGGAGTGATATACCATGTTCATAACTGACTGAATCAATATTTTTGAGATACCTGTTCTTACAAGGTTATGTATAGATACAGTGTAATACCAATGATAACCCCATTAGGTGGTAGTGCATTTTTAATTAACAAACTGATTATAAAATTCATATGGAAATACAGAAAGTCCTAGGACATCCAAAACAATCTCGAAAAAGAGCAGCCAGAAGTCTTAGACTGGCTCAGTGCAATGGCTCACACCTGTAAACCTAGCATTTTGGGAGACCAAGGCAGGAGGATCACTTGAGCTCAGGAGTCCGAGACTAGCCTGGGCAACATAATGAGACCTCATCTACAAAAAGATTTAAAAATTAGCCAGACATGGTATAATTAAAAGTGTATTAAAAGTGTATTAGTGTAGAGCTAATTTAAAAATAGCTCACTGCAGCCTCACTTATAGTCCCAGCTATTCTGGTGGCTGAGACAGTAGGATTGCTTGAGCCCAGGAGGTTGAGGCTGCAGTGAGCCGTGATTGCAGCACCATACTCCAGCCTGGGTGACAGAGCAAGACCCTGTCTCAAAAAAAAAAAAAAAAAAAAAAAAAAAAAGTCTTAGACTAACCAACTTCAGGACTTCGAGTGATATTGGTATAGGAATAAAGACATAGATCACTGGAACAGAATAGGGAGCCCAGGTTTACACCCCCCAGTCACACTGTCATTTGATATTTGACAAAAGCACCAAAGCAACCAATAGAGAAAGGAACATTTTTTCAACAGGCAGAGCTGGGAAGAACTGGATATCCATGTGGAAGAAACACACAGTCTGATCTCTACCTCACATCATACACACAAATTTGAGATAGATCATACACCTAAGTATAAAAGTTAAACTATAAAGCTTCCAAAACAGAATATCTTTGCAATATAGGTATAAAAGTTTTTAGACAGGTCGCAGGAAGCAATAAGAAAAACAATTGATAGATTAGTCTTCATTAAAGTTTTACACTTCTGCTCATCAAGTGACACTATTAAGAAAATGAAAAGGCAAACCACAGACTGGGAGAAAGTATTTGTAAAATAGGTATCTGATGAAGGATGGTATCCAGATTATATAAAGAATTTCTACAACACAGTAATAAAAAGACAACTCAATAAAAAAAAGTGTAAAACACTTGAACAGACACTTGACAAAGGAATAGATATGAAAGACGATGAAAAAAGAAATATGAAGAAATTTTCCTGGGGTTATGAAATGGATCTGCTGCCAGGATCCTGTATAGTCAGATTGTGGTTTTCTAGCAATGGTGATGTTCGTGTTAATATGTCATTCTGAGGCCAGCAATCCCAGCACTTTGGGAGGCCCAGCAGGGAGGGAGGATCACTTGAGGTCAGGAGTTCGAGACCAGCCTGTCTAACAGGGTGAAACCCCGTGTCTACTAAAGATACCAAAATTAGCTGGGCATGGTGGCGTGCACCTGTAATCTCAGCTACTTGGGAGGCTGCGGCAGAAGAATCACTTGAACCTGGGAGGTGGAGGTTGCAGTGAGCCGAGATCGCACCACTGCACTCCAACCTGGGTGACAGAGCGAGATGCTGTCTCCAAAAAAAAAAAAAAAAGTCATTTTGCCTTCTGTCTTTGGGACCAACACCATGTATTCGAGGTGGGAGGTTCCTGTTTGGTATCCTCCTTAGCTGGGAATTGAACAAGGCTTGCATTAATATTCCATGATGTGGTCCCATTAATATCAAGCTTCATCTAGCTCTCTACAGGTACCTTTACACTAAAAAGACTTTGTTTGTTTGTTTTTGTTTTGAGACAGGGTCCCGCTCTGTCGCCCAGGCTGGAGTGCAGTGGTATGATCATAGCTCATTGCAGCCTCGACCTCCCAGGCTCAAGCCATCCTCCTGCCTCAGCCACCCGAGTAGCTGGGACTACAGACGCACACCACCACACCTGGCTAATTTTTGTATTTTTTGTGGAGACAGGGTTTCGCCATGTTGCCCAGGCTGGTCTCGAACTCCTGGGCTGAAGCGATCCTACTGCCTTGGCCTCCCAAAGTGCTGCGATTACAGGCATAAGTCACTGTTCCTGGTCTGAAAGACTCTCTTCTATGGCTCATTTGACTCAAATACAATTTGCTAAAACTGATAGTCCCTTAGAGTTAGTTATAATGGGATTTCGGTTACAATTTCTTAAATATGTATTGAATGCTCAGTGCGTATCTCGATTATGTATTATGTAGATAGATGCTTGATGTTACAAAGGGAAAACATGACTCCTACCCCAAGCAGTTTATACTCTACATATATACCCTTTTAATAAAAAGGAGACTAGGAAGCCATCTCAAATAGTCCTCTTTGCTATAAATGAATTTCTATTTTAGAAATTTAGTAGTTGTAATTCTATAATAATATATATTATTGGTAAAAGTATAAATGGTTCTGTTATATGCCAAATTGTCTTTAACCCGTTTTTTTATCTTTTTCTGCTAAAACTTAGAAACAGTAGAACTTGATTAAATTCTATAATTTTTTGGTGAGGCTTTTATCAGATTTATAAAAGCTATTTAGTTTTCTCCATAAAATCAAGTTTGTTTTCCATTAAGCACTTGCAGATTCTCATTTTGTATTTGAAACTAAATCGGCCTTTTCTAAAAGTACATATAGTTTAGCACAGATTGGCTTGCAATACCACTCAAATAAAAAAAAAAAAAAAAGATAAACCAGTAAAACACAAATTACTGGTAGAATAGGTTTATTGGTTTGAATAAATGTCTTGGAGTTATTACAGATATATAGCAGAAATCCAAGTGGAATATAGTTGATCTGAATAGTAAGTGTGATAATTAGAGAAAGAATATGAGGGAGACAGAAGGAAAGAGAAAGAGACAGAGGAACAAGCCTTTTTGGATTGAACTTTGTAGTTAAGCAATACAGTGTGTACGTGCTCTTCAGCGGGCTTAGAAAGTCTCCCAACCCTTATTAGTAACTCATAACAGTGGCAGATTGGACTTTGTAGTTAAACAATACAGTGGGTATGTGTGCTCTTCAGTGGGCTTAGAAAGTTAGAAAGTTCCCCCAATCCTCATCAGTAAGCAAGCAAGCACACTGACCTTGGTGTCCCACAATCTGAGCACTGGTCCTGGTCATCTTGGCCACCTGACCTTGTTCAAACTCAATCTGAGCACCACAGAGGGACAATCCCGCCAAGTACTCCCAAGGTTGGAAGAGTTAGTGAGATAAGGTATGTGACTCTGTAGAAGTACTTTGCAAATCTAAGAAACAGAACTTTACTTTATTCTTTGGAGCCTAAGGAGACATTAACTCTGCTTTTGTTTACTTGGACAATGGAGTGTTTAAGTACCTGAGCACCATGCTTTGGATTCTGGAGCAGTGATTTCCAAAGATGAGTTGTACTGTCAGCTCAGAATTGATTAGAAAATGCAAGATCTTTCTTTGGTTCCTAAGGGCAAATAATATAAAGGCTGCCATTTTTCATTTTTAATACAAAGGGTTGCTTACTAATAAACTATAAATTTATAGAAACAATATTCTAGCAAGATATTAGGATGCCTACAGTTCTTGTCTGTGTTGCAAAGTGTCTGCTGGGCTTCTGCACACATAGGTAACTGGAATTCAGGAAATGATTTGGGAGCACGTGGTTGTCAGTATATAATATCGAGTTGGTTCTGATTTTTCAAGTACTGCTATATTTAAAAAATCCACCAGACACAGTTGCCTGTAATACCAACACTTTGGGAGGCTGAGGTGGGAGGATCACTTGAGGCCAGGAGTTTGAGACCAGCCTGGGCAACATAGTGAGACCCTGTCTCTACAAAAAATAAAATTAAAAAAATTAGCTGGGCGTGGTAGTGGCATGCACCTGTAGTCTTGGCTACTTGGGAGGCTGAGGCACTTCAGCCCAGGAGATCAAAGCTGCAGTGAGCCATGATTGTGCCACTGTACTCCAGCCTGGACAGCAGAACAAGACCCTGTCTCAAAAAAAAAAAAAAAAAAAAAAAAAAACTGTCATTTTCATCACATTTCATCATTCTAATAGCCTTACTGTATGGATAGTACCCATAATTTTTAAATAATTATTGCTTAATCAGATACTTGCTAAAGTATATTTTCCCAAATTTTGCTTTCACATTGACATATATTTGCTATCACCGAGTTTGTACCCTTAATCCATTAAAAAGTAGAAAACAGTGAAATAGGGCATTTGTTCTAAGTAATGGGACAAGATGTAATTGGAGAAGATGGAAAAAGTCGTAAGAACCACTGCTCTGTATAAGTTGTAAAAACAGTATTAAATATGGTACTTGCCCTTGCTAAAAAGGTAACATGAAGTAATAGGAAGGGTAAATGCACTCAGCTGCGTGGGTTGCATGAAAGATCTTGTGAGCCTGTTCACTCTTGGAGTTGAAAGACTGGATCACTTCTTTCTGGCGTTGTTTCTTCTTATGCAGACTCCTCAGACCCCTGCACAATTGAGAGAAAAGCCCGAAGAATTAGCGTGACCTCCAAAGTACAGGCAGACATCCATGACACCCATGCAGCAGCTGCAGATGGTTTGTACTTGTGTGTCCAGAGTTTGTGCAGAATGTCCAAAGACACATGTTAATCTGTGTAGAATTATAAGTAAAACCATACCTTTATTTTCTGCTTTAAAAAATTACCAAGTTTCTAAGGCTGTGCTGTCCAATAGAAATATAATGTAAGCCACATATATAATTTAAAATTTTCTAGTAGCAAAGATGAAATTTTAACATTTTATATAATTCAGTATATACAAACTATTATTTCAATATGAAATCAATATAAAATTATCAGGGAGATGTTTTACATCCTTTTTATACTAAATCTTTGAAATCTGGTGTATATTTTACACTTATAGCAACACTGAGTTTTTAGAGCATGTCTATTAAAAACCAACAACAGTAAGATACAAATTTTTTTAAGTGTTAGGTTTTTGGGCATATTGTTCTTTTAAAAGGTAAAGACAAAAGAGGTCCTTTTCTGAAAATGGCATAGTAGGCCAGGTGTGGTGGCTCACGCCTGTAATCCCAGCACTTCGGGAGGCCGAGAAGGGTGGATCACGAGGTCAGGAGATCAAGACCATCAAGACAGTGAAACCCCGTCTCTACTAAAAATACAAAAATTTAGCCGAGCGTGGTGGCGGGCGCCTGTAGTCCCAGCTACCTGGGAGACTGAGGCAGGAGACTGGCGTGAACCCGGGAGGCTGAGCTTGCAGTGAGCCGAGATAGCGCCACTGCACTCCAGCCTGGGCGACAGAGCGAGACTCTGTCTCAAAAAAACAAAAAAAAAAACAAGAAAATGGCATAGTAAACATTTTTCCTCCAACCGAAGGCTTTATTCCTCCATATGAGACAAAAAAGAAAACTGTATTAAATCTACATGTTTTAGAGTCATGAGCCAAACAAAAGACACAAGGTGGGTGATATTGGCAGTTAAAAAGCAATAGTTGAAGCAAGAGAAACAAGCCCATCTCCTATTTATAGTCATAGAAAGCGACTGAAGAACCCAGTAATTTTCTGTTACATCGTAAGGCTAAGATCACCTTCCTGTTTGAGGCTGAGCATTATCATACCTTGGGGTAAGGTTCAGGGTCTAAAATTCAGTTCTCTTTACCTCTTGGGGAATGTTATGACATTTGTCATATAAGGCAAATTGATAAACTAGAAGTCAGCTTGTTAATTTCCAGTGGAAGATATGCCTAGCCCAAAATAGTAACTGATAAAGCTTCCCTAGATCTGTTTCTTTTGTTACCTATTTAAAAAGGTGTTGCTTACCTTAGATCTTAATCTCATTTCCAGTTCATAGTGACCATTTCCAGTTACCCCAGATTCCAGGGTGAATTCCATCTGGAGATCTTTAGTCTCCTATTCATTGACCTCAGTCTCAATAGGGACCTAAAAGACAGAAATTACAGGTTAACTCTAGATGCAAAGAGCTTTTTTGAGCACAAAGCCAGAGGGACTAAGGACCTACGAGGAATGTAAATTTGGATTTCTTTATCAAATCCTGGGGACCAACATAAGGTTGCCAGGTATGGGCATTTTTAAAAACTGATATATGAAGGATTTTTAATGCCAAAAATGTAGGAAAGAATATGAGAATAAAAGTCTTTTATACTGAATGAATTTAGCTTTATGAAAAATGAACTGTAGAATCTTTCTCTTTTCACTGTTCTGGGGAAAACTTTGGTATGAACTGCCACTGCTATTTATGAACCATTAATATAAAATACATGCGTATTGTAGAACTTAAGTTGTCATGGAAGAAGGCACACATTTAGTCAGATGTTTAATATAGTATGGATAGTATTATACTATAGAGAGGAAAAGTCAAGGTGGGCTGAACGTCAGGGAAAACTTACAGAGGCGACAGAATTTAACATGCTATAAAACATTTCTCTCTCTTTTTTTTTTCATTTGGCTGGAATAAAGCATAACTCTCCACTATTTACAGGTAATGACCTAGGAAGGCAGTCTATTCTGGACATATATCCATCTTCTTATAGCCAAAAAAAAAAAAAAAAGTAATTAGAACAAAGTAAAAGATCAACTTTCTGTTCAACTATGCATTTCCAGTAGATATGTTTACTAATTGGCTTACATATTAAAGTAGGCAATTAACTCCCTTGATTTTTGTGGTATTTTTCTTTTCAGTTTGGGATTATACTTGGAAAAAGGTTAATCTATTTACCTTCCCCCGCCCCCCTTAATCCTAACCTCCCTCAGAGCATCGAACTGGCTCCACACAAAGTCCTCGGACACAACCTCGAGATGAAGACTACGAAGGGGCTCCATGGAATTGTGATAGCTGCACCTTTCTTAACCACCCAGCACTAAATCGCTGTGAGCAGTGCGAGATGCCACGGTACACTTGAATTCAGAAAAGTCTGCGCCAGGTTGAAAGTGAAACTTTGAGCACCACCAGAAGAAAAGGAAACCTCGGGACTCTATTCATCCACCCAGCCTTTTCATTTTCGATTGCACAGCGGGGAGGAGGAATGGCTTTGTGGTCGTTGTGCTCACGAAAGGAAAAATGGGGAGGTCTTTTTTTCTCCTTTCTTAACTCACTACAGTGTGAGAGATAGGAAGGGATACTTGAAACTGGGAAAAGGATTCACTCTGTGAAAGAATGTACACACAGAAGTCAAGAGCTCTTCTGTGGTGGAATCCCAATTGTTAAAGTTACTGCTGAGTGGCCCTTATTTTTCAAACTAGAACTTTGAATCATAGTATAAAATGTTACAGTTTATGCAAACTGTGAATTCCCAGAGCAGACTTACCTGGTCGCTGCTCTCTGGAAAACCAAGGCTCCCCGTGCTTCTTCCGGTTGCTTCCTACTAAAGAGGACAACAGGAAAAAGCACCTAGAATATTTTTTTGGGGGGGCGGGGGGCAAATTAATTAAGGGTATTTGTAATTGCTGCTTTTTTCAGGGGTTATTTCCAACACACATACATGCACACAAACAAAATGTTTTAAAATGTGATTTGTAGCAGTCAGGAACTAGGCATATCATGCCTTTGTTTAAAAGTACAATCAGAGGTGGTAAGATGCCTTTGGCTTGTACAGTGATTCATCAAGCTCTATCAACACTGGTAACTAAGACCTACTTATGCCACATAAGAGATGCATTTTTTAAGTTACTGCATGTTTTTATTAAGGCCACCGGTTTTCAAAATAACAAGTCCTTACAAAGTATGATTTTATAAATGATATTCTCGTAACACTGCGCTTTGCCAGTAGCACAGAGAATGTATGCCAAATGCAAGTCCATTCCAAAATCCATTTGGAAATCTTGAACTCAGCTGTGGTTCTTACACTTTGGCAGTCCATAGGGCCTTTTTTTTTTTTCCTCCTTCCAATTTTGTGATAAATTCATGATGTTTACAGCACAGATAAAACTTTGTGCCATAATCCTAATTTAGCTGAAAAGAAATCAATATTAACTGTTGGATAAAAACTTACTTGCACATGTTAATAAACCAATGTGAGGGGAATTACAGTTGGCCAATGACAAAGTTGCACACTGCATTATTTGGGAAACGAGAGGGATTGTCAAAAATTATTAAGAGAAAGGTGAATATAGAGGACTTTGAAACAGAACTTTTAAAATTTAACATAACTGTATCTAGAGGTCAATTGAGTTTCTACAGGCAGTTCAGGTCATTTTAAAGCACTCCTTATTTATGAAATAGAACTTCAGGGTGTGGATAAGTGAAGAGATATAAAATCATGTGACTCACTAAGGCGCATCACTGGAAACTTAATAGCACGTTTCATTAAGGTCTCTGCCATTGCTGGAGTTCCTTCTTAGCTCAGAATTGGAGTTTTGGAATCTTCCCCTCATTTTGGTGAGTATAAACAGCAATAAAGTTAGTAGGTTCTCCCATCCTAAAAGATTTTACCTGAGGATATCATCTTAGGAATATCCATAGACTCTCCCATCAGGTATCTCCCCGAACCCCCATACACAGACACACACCCCCCTTCTAATTTAGCAGTAATCTCTGGCAGACCTGGAAAAGCAAGCTGCTCTTAATAGCATAATGAAACCAAAGGCGTAATAACTCATCATAGTTTTCCATCAGAATCATCATTTCACACTCTGCCTACAGCTTTGAAAACATTTTTTCATATGTGAAAAATTCCCCCAAAATATATCCACTTGTCTCCCAAAGGAAGCGTGGTAATTACACTGATAAAACATCTCTCATACAACAACTGTGGCAAAACTGTGAAAATAACGGTGAGAAAGCAGATGGGCTCAAAAGCATGGTCCCCAAAACAATGTTCTTTAAAGGTTTTTGTAACACTGGTCTCTGTCTCCAATAACAGTCTAGCCGTCCTACTGTTCTGTAATATGCCTTTGCCTTTGTATGGTTTCATATCTCTTTAGTGATGGTCAACCCCACTTGTTTTTAAGTTACAATTTAGGGGAAAATATATATATATACTGCTTGGTGTCCTAGCTAAAAGGTTTACCAGTATTCATAGTGATATGCTGAAGTGGAGGCAATTAACTTGGCAGTTGTCAGTTGAGAATGAAAGTAGCATGTCTGAAAACAGTCTGATGCTTTATAAAACCACGTAGATGACTTTAAAACTATTGCATGAAAATACATCAAGGTTAATTAGCTGTTATACAGTAGATGCATGGTTTCAATTCTTTGGTGATATATCTAGTCAATCATTGTTTTCACCTGCCAGGAAAAGAGAGCAAACAGTCTATTGGATAGGTGTAAAGGGTGGGGTATGCAGTATCAGATTGATTTTAAGGAAGTTTTGTACATGTTAATTTTTAATTGTGCATAAGTTTCATATGCCAACATAGGCTGTATTCAGTTTTAAAACAGGCAAAATGACTTGACACTGATAAATCTGATATATTTAACTGTGTCCCGTATGTATACTGCTTTTTGCCTATGACCAGTTTGAACAAGAATTCACCGAACTTTCAAGGTGCCTTTTCAAAAGGATCTTGTAATCAGTTGGTATGTACAGACAATTGGCATGAAAGTGGTAGGATATAAATCGGATGATGCCTGGCTGCTGAGGTGCCTGTGCTCTCTGGATCAGCTGGTGCACTTCTTGTTTCCTGTAAGAGGTTTGCTTCTTTAAAATGACTAGTTTGATGTATCTGGTAACATATAGACCTGACTATACATTTTACATTATTTCACTATTTTGTAAACTGGGATTTTAGAAAGCACGTTTGCCATTTTGTTAAAGTACATTGCCCCTTAAATTTTGGAGTAGTTTTTAAAAGTTTAAAATGGTAATAGAGGAGCCAGAAACTTTCTAAGCATTGTAAAATGTTTTGAATTGATATTGACTTTGTTTGGAAGAGAGTAGAGGCAGGGGGTTTTAAAGAAACAAAGAAATGCATTGTAAAAATGTAGTTTTAGAGCAGATTAATAATGATGGTGGGGAAAGTGTTGCTAATTTGTTTATTTCCCTGGAAGAAATGGGAAGTGTGATAAGCAGTTTAATTTTTAAGGAGCTGGTCTCAATTTTAGTACTTTTTAATTATGCAAATAAATCAATGTTTCCTTAAATTTTGTCATTGCTTTGTCACAGTTGTCTAGGGTTCATATCCAACCTTCTGTGGCAATTCAATTTTATATAGTCTTTTAAGAGGTAATTGTAATGTATTTCTGACAGTATAAACAAAAAGAATATAAGGCATAGACGAATTGTCCTTTAAAAATATCAATGATGTATCCTGGAATGTGAAGATGTCTCTTTAGAGTTAAAAATCGAATTATTTTAATATTGTACCATTGTTAGACCTTGAATGAGTCCATGTTACCGTGTGTGTCTGTATATCTGTAGAGAAAGAAAAATGACAACTGAAATGTTACTTTTTAAAATCGGAATAAATTGGGCACTGCCTGTGTTGCGCCACTACTGTATCTTTTCGAAAGAATTAACAGTATTTGCCTATTGTAAAAGTTAATTCTGATGACGCTTTCACATTCACCAGACTTCTTTTCCTCTATTATTTGCATCCCCAAATATTTAATACAAGTAGATTCTGCATGGCTTGGGCATTCAGAGATTAATAGAATGATGACTCAATTTTAATTCTAAAGCCATGAAAAGTTACTTTAAGACTGAACAATTCTGAATTATTTATGATACCAAATGTCCATGTTTCTTTCCCTACTGTAAAAGAATTGATCAGTTTCTTCATTAAAGCAGCAAAAACTTATTAAATCTTGTAAATACCATGTCTCTTTTAGATTTCTGTGTATGCTGTGAATGAAATCATTTTGAGATGAAATTGTACAAAGGCATTTTAAAAGGCTCTGCATGCATCGTACCTCCAAACAGTACATATTCGGAAAGTCAAAGATTCCTGCAAAATAAATAAACTAAAAGCAAACACTACATTCTGCATCTTTTCTGTGTAGTTAGAAATTTACAGTATCAAATTAGTTCTAGTGTCAGCACTCATATGTCTGGACTGAAATATGCTGTCTCACAAACCTAATCATCACATTTGTCTTCCTTTATTAGAACATGTAATGTTAGATTTGGGGTATTAAGTGCACATTACTCCAATTGGAAAAATTGGTAAAATTATACATAAGCAGGTTTTATATAAAAGTTGGAATATGTTAGGAACTTCTTTTCATTCCACTTTAGAATGTTATTTACAAAAGAATACGTAGTTTTCTTTTTTAAAAAATCTTTGTCATTTCAGAGGCAAATAACGTTCTGATAATTTGTTAGGGTCTGTAGTAAACCTTTACAACTTTTACACAGAAATTACCACAAATGAATTATAGTAGGTAACACTTTCAGTGATTAAGCACATTTAAATTCAAAATCATTTCCAGGCTGGGCACAATGGCTTATGCTTGTAATCCCAACACTTTGGGAGGTCGAGGTGGGAGGAAGGCTTAAACCCAGAGTTCAAGACCAGTCTGGGCAACATAGTGAAACTCTTGTCCATTCAAAAAATATGCAAATTAGCTGGTCATGGTGGCATAGGCCTGTAGTCCCAGCTACTCGGGAGGCTGAGGTGGGAGGATCGCTTGAGCCCAGGAGGTCAAGGTTACAGTAAGCCCTGGTTGTGCCACTGCACTTCAGCCTGGGCAACAGAGCGAAACTATCTCAAAAGGGCATTTCCACTACACTGTTTTAATACATGAAAAATTGCAAACATACGCAAGTAGAGAGATAATGATCCCCCATTTACTACCCAGCTTCCAAAATTATCTATGTATAAGCGTTCTTATTTCATCTATGTTTTCATTCCACCTCCCCCTAGATTATGTTGAAACAAATCCCAGACATCATATCAATTCACTGGTAAATAAACTTTCAACATAAGCAAAGTACACTCATCACACCTTACAAAATAATTTAAACACTGAATATCCAGTGGTAAGTTTCTCTAACAGTTTCAAAGATTTTTTTAACAAGCTTATCCAAATTAGGGTCTAAATAGAGTACATGAAATTGATTATGTCTTTTAAGTCTATATGCATTCTCATAGTCTCTGTCAGAAGCCCAGTCATGTGTTAACTGGATTTTTTGAGACAAGATCTCACTGTGTCACCCAGGCTGGAGTGCAGTGGCACGATCACAGCTCACTGCAGCCTCCAACCCCTGGGCTCGAGTGATCCTCCTGCCTCAGCCTCCTCAGTAGCTGGGACCACAGGCTTGAGTGGTGTCACCATGCCCAGCTTATTTTTTTATTTTTTATTTTTAGGAAATGGGGCCTTGCTATGTTGCCCAGTCTCGGAATATTTTTACAGGGGAATTCCCTCATCTACTATTGAGTTATCCTCCACCACATCTTATAGTTCAATTATGCATAGAATGTGAAAGATAATTTTTAAGACAACTTTTTAAATAGTGTGTGCAGTATTCCCTTCCCCTTGCTTCCTGCACCCTGGGTTGTCCCTTTTAAACGACTGATTTTTAAATAGAAAAGTACTTCAAATCTGTTTGGTTACCACAACAATGGTTCACTGTGGTGCTCATTTTCAGAGACATATCTGGTTTTTGTTTTTTTTTTTTTTTTTTTTTTTTTTTGAGACAGGGTTTTACTCTCACCTAGGCTGGAGTACAGTGAGTGGCACGATCTTGGCTCACTGCAGCCTCAAACTCCAAAGCTCAAATGATCCTCCCACCTCAGCCTCCCAAGTAGCTGGGATTACATACGTGTGACACCATGCCCAGTTAACTTTTGTATTTTTAGTAGAAAGAGGGGTTTGCCATATTGCTCAGGCTGGTCTCGAACTCATGAGCTCATGCCATCTGCTCACCTCAGCCTCCCAAAGTGCTGGGATTATAGGTGTGAGTCACTGCACCTCGCCCATAATTAGTCTTTAATCCCACTATCACTATGATGATTTCAGGTATTGCCCAGCTCAGTTTTCCACACAGAAGACTGGAGGACTGTTGTGTAGGAGATGCACAGTGTGTATCCCACCTGCATTCCTCCGAAGACTTCCTGACTTGACTTTGTCCTCTTGGCCTTTTTTCTAGAACATTGACCAGGTAATGTTTTATGATGGAGATTTCAAAGATATTAATAGAATATGTGAGTGAGATTTTGTTTTGCAAGTTCCTTATTCTCAGAGCAGTCAAACCATCTCACTTGTCCTGCCTCGTGAACATTGGTGGGTGTGCTTTTGACCACCCTTTCATAACATGACAGTGATAATATATTGTGCAAGAAAAGTGGTGCTGCCTAGCTCTCTCGAGTTTTGCACTGCGGTGGGAACAAAATGCCAGTTACTACATTCTATATTACTTTGTTTTCTTTTGACTGACTTGTGCATTTATTCCTGGGGACTGAGGCAGTTTTCAGGCAATTCCATTCCCTTGATCAAGAACTGCTAACATTTACAGCAATTTCTAAATCCTATCCCCCAATTCTGTTTTCTTTCAAATCATTTAGTCTGATTTGGGTGTGCAAGATTCAAAAAAAGATATATGGAAGGTATTTGGGGTTGGGAGAGGAGAAAATTGGGTTAGCATATGGAAATAGCTTGCATTCTCTATACACTTTGACAGTGAATCAAATGGTCACATGTGGCAGGAAGACTCTGATTTTAAGATTACGATTTGAGATTCTCTTCCCAAATTCCACTGGTGTAACTAACAAAAGCATTTTCAAGGACTAGAGAATAGGCTCTCAGGGTCAGAAATTACAGGAAGCAGATGGGGATGTATGGAGGGCAGTAGCAACCAGTGTCAGCCAGCCCACAATTCTAGCCATCAGTGAAAGTCAACCTGCAAATCAAGTCTATGGGACTCCTCAAAAGAACCCATGAAGACCCCCAAACTCTGAGCAGTGGGCAAATGGGAAGGGATCTGTGTGCTGGACAGGAAGCATGTAGATTGCAGCATTTGCTTTCTGGCTCACTTGGCACCACAGTTCACTACAGAAAGCATTTAATGGGAGTGGTTTGGCCACCTAGTTAAGGGGCATAAGGCACCAAGTAACTTCAAGCTGCCACAATGAACATAGAGGAAAAGCTTGCTTGGCCCAGCTGAGGATTCCAGGGAGCAGTTTTCAACCCCGCAATGAATACTTAAAACAGCACCCATTGATGCCTGTTACTGAGTGGCTGAAAAAAAATGCTTAGCAAAGCACTGAACTTCCCGATCTTTCTAATACTTTTAGTAATTTCCAACCAAGAAAAATTAGACTACAGAAGTAGACAAATTTTTGCTTAAGATATTAAAAGAGTTAAACAATGTGACCCACATGGTATTTACAATTCTTTAAAAATCAAATGTACATGAAGATGTAGCATTCTGAAAAAAGAATCTCATTCTACAGAAGGGAAAGAGAAAACCTTAATTTCTAAATTGAATTCCAAACAAAATTTACAACCATGTTGTATCTCTCAAAAAGGAACAATCAAATCAAAAAAGGTTTCCTTGAAAGGAAAACTAATTTTTGCTAAAACTCTAAAATACAAATACAGGTAGTGAAGTTCAGAAAACTGAGTCAATAGAGATTCTAGAATTCGGAGGAAAGAGATATTGAGATGAAGAGCTGACATAGAGAAGAAATAAACGTGAAACTAGACTCAGGAGATGCAATAAGGAATACCAGAAAAAACAAACACAGCAGATAGGAGAGAAGCAATGAAGATACAAGAAACATGGGACAGGAGGACTGAAAAAATCTTACCGGCCGGGCGCGGTGGCTCAAGCCTGTAATCCCAGCACTTTGGGAGGCCGAGATGGGCGGATCACGAGGTCAGGAGATCGAGACCATCCTGGCTAACACGGTGAAACCCCGTCTCTACTAAGAAATACAAAAACTAGCCGGGCGAGGTGGTGGGCGCCTGTAGTCCCAGCTACTCGGGAGGCTGAGGCCGGAGAATGGCGTGAACCCGGGAGGCGGAGCTTGCAGTGAGCTGAGATCCGGCCACTGCACTCCAGCCTGGGCTACAGAGCGAGACTCCGTCTCAAAAAAAAAAAAAAAAAAAAAAATCTTACCTATGAAGGTCAAATAAAGGAACACAATTGTCTGATTTTCACGTGCAAAATAGACAAATAGTGAATATTATCAGTTTAGTTAAATCTACTATAATAAAACTTTATACCTCCCAATAACCAACTGTTCTTTCAAATGTCCAAACATTTACCCCCCAAAAAATCAAGAAAACCTCAATTCCTAAAACGGAATTATACAGGCCACATTTTTCTGACTGTAAGGCATCAAATCTAAAAATAACTAAAATCAAGCCACCTGAAAATGAAAAGAAAAAGCTCTTCCAAATAATTCAAAAATGGAATAAAAAATAATTGTCAGATTTAGTTCAGGTGACTCAACAAGAGCCTGTGGCAAAGACATTATCTCATAGACTAAAAAGATGTTCAGCTCCCAAAGAACAGGAGAAAATAAAAGAGTGCCATATCCCAGTGATGTTTTATATTGTGCAAATGTTGAATTATTTCTAGATGTAAATGAATTGTCCACACTCATAATAGAAGCTGTTGCACAAAGCAATAATTCAGAACCGTAGCTGATGTCACTTGTGGGAAATACATTTCCAACACAAGATGTCTCTATGCAAACTCTAACAATGAAATGAAATCATGTCAAAATTTGCAGCCCAGCGATAGTCTGAGAGAACACTCTGTCAATACGGCCGGTGTCAAGAATCCTCATGAACTGGAGAGCCCTGGGGAAAGAGCTGGATCAGAAGTATTCCAAGGCCAAGCTGATGTGTAACATGTGTGAGAAAGTGTTTTTAGAAGCCATCAGCTTAAGAATGCATGTGAGTATACATAAAGGAGTCAAACTCTGTATCTGCCACGTCTGTGGAAAGGTATGTATGCATTGTAACTGGCTGAAAACGCATGTAAGAACTCATACAGGCGAGAAGCCTTACAAATGTGAATTATGTGAT